ACATCCGGCCATATGGATCCAGACACCCCACCCAGCAACCCTAAGGACTTTGCACCTGCCGCAAGAGAAGCACCACATCCCCCGCCTGTTCAACCTTCTCTCATCTACAACCCTCCTTTTCCCACAGGTTTTGTGTCACTAGACGGTGTCGTCACCCGTAGCGGCCGAGTGGTCCACACCCCCGCCCGTTATGTCTCACATGTGGGATGCAACCCTGCCGACAAGTTTCCTGCAGCGCTCGGAGGGGAGGGGGAGTATTGTAGTGGATACTCTCCCCTACAACTGCTGACTGATCACTTGCCGTTCGCTTTCCAGCCAATCAGCGGCGAGTTCCACAGACCAGGCCTCACTCGCGGATGGACGTGTACAACTGCTGACCGATCACTTGCTGTCCGATACCAGCCAATCAGCAGCGAGTTCCACAGACCAGGCCTCACTCGCAAACTGCTCTGTGATTGGCGCCGCTCATTTCGCACCTTGTTTTCTGATCCTGGAGAATAGTATAAATACACCTCTGCCTGGCCGTGGACATTATTCTACTCTACTCTCCAGAACCAACATGACCTCTCAACAAGCTCTTCAACCAACAAGACCTCTCAGCAAGCTCCTCACCACACAGCAACTCCCTAGCACTGCACTGTACTTACAATATATTTCTATAGAGAATGCTATTGTGAGTTTCACTTCTTACCTCCATCCTGAGTGCGAGACCTCTTACATGTACGTATGTATGTGAGCCTATCAAAGATAATAGACAAACATAGAGAAATTTGACAACTGGCCACATACAGTACGCTACAATAGACTGTTTTTTTCTTTTATCCTCTTCACCACTGATCGGCTCATTAGCCGCTTGGGCAATTGGTCACGTCTCTGTTACGTACTGTTGGAAGTTCGGTGGTGGCAATTGCTAAATATTAACCGCAAATAATAGTATTACCTGTAAACCATACGGTCAAGTACAACTGGATGCAAGACAATTTTGTTTAGCTATCACTAAGGTGTAGTTGACTGTTGATGTATTGTACAGTACCCAAATTACAGCTACATGGGTAGGTCTGTAGCAGGGGGTATAAGGACAAAACCCCAGCCCATTATATGAAAAGTGGACAAAACCCGTCTCGTATATAAAATATAAAATATAGCACTTTTATGTTTGCAAACACACATTATATATACATTTTATTTTTCACACTCCACAATCCACAAAACCCTTTTACATTTGTAGGGAATTGACACTCACAATAAACAATATATGCTCCACTTATGAAAATGGTGAACGGAATAAAGTCACATGACTTGTACACATTGACAACACATTATATATATGATGGCATTGCACGTAGGTTAAGTTAGGTTAGGTTAGGTTTTTCCGTGCCTTTTTTTCTGTGTTGACAAATCTGAAATAATAAAAAATTAAATATTATAATGTATTATTTTATACGTGACTGGGGGTTTGTCCACTTTTCATATAATGGGTTGGGGTTTTGTCCGTTGGGGTTTTGTCATTGATTCGGAGCAGGGATGTGATTTGGTCTTGAAAAAAAAAAATTGAAATTTTTTTTGAGCTGGGAGTCCGGAGAAACATACATCCAGGAAGTTTTTACCATATTTAACTTAATTTCTCACATTGTTACTCATTTCGTGAGTGCCTAATAGTTAAAATACATATACAGTATTACCCCGCCTAACGCGGTTTCACTTAACGCGTTTTATCATATACGCGGTGCCTCGCCAGAGCTGAACTTTCACTTAACACGGATTTTTTCCACATATACACGGTGAGTGTCCGGCTCGAGACGCTATTTTTAGATTTGCCCACCCTGCCTGACTGCCTGTTTTAGCTCATAAAATTCATACAAATTACCCGGCCAGAATATAATTTACATTGCTGGAATTCTTATAATTTGGTGATCATTTTGAATATAAACATCATATTTTTGCATTAGACATACAAATTTTAGATAAAAAAATTTCTCAAATTAACTATGTTATCTTTTGTGCAAAATATATGACATTTATATTCAAAATATTCCTGGTCTTACAAGGAATCCAGCAATGTCAATTATATTATCCTAACTTTAGTTTGAGGTATTATGTATTAAAATTTAGTGGTTATCCCACACATCTCCTTGGGACGGTTGGTGGGGGGTGGGGGGAGGGAGGGACCGACCGACCATCTGTTACCCTGTGAAGAATTATTTTTTTTTTTATTAACTGAAGATATTTGTTTTAGCTCATAAAATTCATACAAATTATCCGGTCTGAATATAATTTACATTGCTGGAATTCTTATAATTTGATGATCATTTTGAATATAAACATCATATTTTTGCATTAGACATACAAATTTTAGATAAAAAAATTTCTCAAATTAACTATGTTATCTTTTGTGCAAAATATATGACATTTATATTCAAAATATTCCTGGTCTTACAAGGAATCCAGCAATGTCAATTATATTATCCTAACTTTAGTTTGAGGTATTATGTATTAAAATTTAGTGGTTATCCCACACATCTCCTTGGGACGGTTGGTGGGGGGTGGGGGGGAGGTAGGGACCGACCGACCATCTGTTACCCTGTGAAGAATTATTTTTTTTTTTATTAACTGAAGATATTTGTTTTAGCTCATAAAATTCATACAAATTATCCGGTCTGAATATAATTTACATTGCTGGAATTCTTATAATTTGATGATCATTTTGAATATAAACATCATATTTTTGCATTAGACATACAAATTTTAGATAAAAATTTTTCTCAAATTAACTATGTTATCTTTTGTGCAAAATATATGACATTTATATTCAAAATATTCCTGGTCTTACAAGGAATCCAGCAATGTCAATTATATTATCCTAACTTTAATCTGAGGTATTATTTAATACTAAATGTTAAAAACCCTGGAAGGGAGGATTGGTGGGGGGTGGGGGGGAGGGTTGGGACTGACCGCGCGGTTGGAAGAGGGGGGGAGGCAAGGTGGGGTACTTTGATTGACAGATAGTGTTGTGAAGATTATTTTTTTTTTTATTAACTGAAGATATTTGTTTTAGCTCATAAAATTCATACAAATTACCCGGTCAGAATATAATTTACATTGCTGGAATTCTTATAATTTGGTGATCATTTTGAATATAAACATCATATATTTTTCATTAAACATACAAATTTTAGATAAAAATTTTTCTCTAGGTAACTATGTTATCTTTTGTGCAAAATATATGACATTTATATTCAAAATATTCCTGGTCTTACAAGGAATCCAGCAATGTCAATTGTATTATCCTAACTTTAGTTTGAGGTATTATTTATTAAAATTTAGTGGTTTTCCCCCAAAAATTTCTCTGAGAGGGAAGAGCCAGGGAGTGTAGTGTGAGAGAGGGAGGGAGTTGAGTCCATTATTTGAATGGACATTAACTTGGCGACTGTATTTCTCTTAAGTATTAATTGAGTGCATGTACCATCATAAAATTAAGATGTTATTTTTACTACAACATAGGTATGTGCCTTCAAAAAGTGGAGTTTGGGGGTCAGGCCGGTTTCTATTGGAATTAATCCCATATGTTCTGTTGTTCACTTAACGCGGATTTCACTTAACGCGGGACCCTCTGGGTTCAATTGACCGCGTTAAGTGGGGTACAACTGTAGTACCAAAAATCAAACATATATGTTTATTGGAACAATATTTTTTATGCATATAGCCATAATAATTAGTTTACAAATTTTAGCTGTTACTAAACTTGAATTTGTTTAATATTTTTAATTGTGCACCATTATTGAGAGAATATAAACTAACAGGTAAGCTTTTTTTGCTCTGTACTGTGTGAGAATTCAAAATTTAATACTTACCAAAGGGATTTATCTCTAATGCACCAGCAACCATGTTTTCAATAGCATATGTAGCACAAAAATAAGAAAAGTCAACATGTTTCATGATATACTGTATACTGTAGACAAACAAAATATTTAGTTTTCTTACCCATGCCAGGAATACGACATACACACCTCAAAGTAAGTTAAAATACAGTATTCTATTGTTTTTTATTTATTATTGTACAGTATAATAATATATAATGGTTGCCCCTCGTGAACAAGGATGGCCGGTCCAAGGGCCATCTAGGCGTGAATTTATTTAAGGTGTAGGAGCTGTCGCCAACACAACAACCACACCCTGAGTTAACAAAGTGCATGACCCAGTGCCAAGGAAGAGTCCGAGAAGACCGGACAACTCGCCAACTGCATTGGCTAACCATTACCCCGAATATGATCCGCAAATCATTAACATCCAGGTTCCCAATTACTGCTGGGTAGACAGAGGCAAATGGTGTAAAGAAACTTGCCCTTAGTTTCACCCTGCCCGGGGATCGAACCCGGGTCCGCTCGCTAGCGAGGCGAGAATGCTGACCATTGCACCACAGGTCGCCAGAGTACAGTATACTGTACAGTACAGTACTGTATTTAGTTTATATTTAATGTTTTGTTAATTCTATTACCGGTATACAGTACTTTGTATGTATACTTTTTCTGAGTTGGAACCAATTACCCAATATCCCATTGAAATAATAGATTCGGTTAATGAACGACTCTGTGGAGCCAATTGTGTTCGTTACTCGAGGGATATATATATACAGACAGACCCCGACTTACGACTGTTACGACTTATGACCGTCGGGACTTGCAACCGCCGCAGATTTAAAAAAAAAAAAAATTATTTTTTTATTTTTTATTTTCTTCAAATGACGCATGCATTTTCTATACCGAAACGTTTCCAGTTAATGTAGTCTCCATGAATAATTAGAAAATTATGGGGGCCCCATGTGCATTCAGCTGACTACATTAAAGGTAAGTGCTCAGTCACACTGTAACCATTCCTCATTATTCATTACTTTTACTGTACTGTATTTCATTGTAGATTATCTATTAAAAAAAAAAATCTGTCGGACTTATTTACCTGGATTTGGGTCCTAACCCCGTCTGAAGTCGGAGTCTATATATATATATATATATATATATATATATATATATATATATATACACAACCTTAATGACTTATTGCATTATAAACCTCTGTCACTTTCTTTTACTGCATGTACAGCATAATTGATTAATGTATTTGACAGCCAAGACCACTTGTTGACCAATGGATTGTATGCCATTCCATGCACCATTCGTGTCACAAACCCACCTGTGGAAGAGAGGAAATGTTTTCATATTCAGTGCCATAAATAAAGTGCTGTACTGTACTGTCAAGACTAAAGAATGGATTCTGAATCCTCAACAAGCCATAATATTACCAGATACAGTATACTGTATGTTCTACTAAAGTGGTCCCTCGGTTAACGAATGGTTCGATTAACGAATTACCTCCCATAAGGATCTTCAATTCGGTTAACGAACAAAACTTCAATTAACAAAATCCTTACGAACAACACGTTTTGTTGTGAGCATCAGCTGATCAGCTGATGGACTAGACTGCCAATTCAGTAATCTGTTCTATGTTTACATTCATTTCCAGTGGGGTAAATATCAAGAAAGATGAGCTCTTTAATATTTTTGCATTTTTTATATTAAAATTATTAGTCATTTAAAGATTTAGTTAACATATTGATAATAATATATGCAGTACAGGGAACTAGTTTTTTATGCGCCCATCAGCCGCTTGACTCAACCACCAGGCGTCCGTTTGGCTTTGTTGACAGTGGAGTGAACATCAATTTTGTTGGTGTCTTGAATATTTTTGCATTTTTACATTAAAATTATTGGTCATTCTGAAATTTAGTTAACATATTGATAATATATAGAGCAGTGCAGTGTTGATTTAAATAAAATAATCTTGAATTACACCTAGTGAACTTAAAATTTTATTGGTGAAATTACTGCTTCAAGCATGGGTCCCCTGAAAGGTGATTTTTCCTCCATCCCCACTTCCTTCTCCTCTCCCTTCTCCTCCACCCCCACTTCTAATTCCCATCATCATCATCAACCAGGAACCTTCTACATACACACCTCAAAGTAACTGTACTTTTGCATTTTTTTTTTTTTTTTACTTTGTATGTACTTTTCTGTGAGCTGGAACCAATTACCCAATATCCCATTGAAACAATGGATTCAGGTAACGAAATTTTCGGATAACGAACAACTCTGTGGAACGAGTTGTGTTCGTTAACCGAGGGACCATTGTATTTCATATCCTGTACTACACAAACAAGTGTTGTAACTTACAGGTAAATTGAATACTTGTACCATTAAATATCATTTCCAAGAGCCTTGGCTCATATTATTATGGAGCATTTTATTAATGAAGCAGCTGAAGTTTAGGAAACAATAATTAGCAAATGGTGAAACAATGGTCAAAATCTAAGGGTTTGGTAAAAAGCTGATAAGATTTTTTTTTTTTTTTTTATGGGGAATAGCCCACCCGGGCACAGGTTATCGACCCACAACGGGGTCTGGGGGCAAAAAAATAAGAGTAAAAAGAAATTAAAAATAGAAAAGAAAAAGATTATATTAATCTACACCACGAAGATGCCAGAAAACCATCTGTTTGAGGTGAGACAGATTGTATGAGTATGGAAACACAGAAGAAGGCAGAGCATTCCACAGTTTGGCTGTGAGAAAAAAGAATGATGTACAGTAGACTCTCAACTTACGCGGGGGTCACGTTCCTGGGACCCAGTGTAAAGCCAAAAAATGTGTAAAGTCAGAAACACTCCTAAAAATCCCTTAAATCGCCCTTAATATACATACATTTACACTAGAACTCATAAATCACTACTGTAGTGTAATATCAACATCTGTGCATAACAGCATTAATAGAACACAGACATTACCTGTATGTAGACAGACATGTGTTGTTGTTTTGAGATTATTCATCCCCTTCCCACATCACTGTGGGGGGATCGTCAAGCTCAGATAACCATACAGTGGAGGGTGTGGGCAGCTCAAGGTCACTGCAAGAAGTTGAGGGCATTGACTGATCTGCTGACAATTTTGATGCTGAGGTTTTCTTAAAGAACATGGTAATGGGAAGCTGTCGTTATTGTTTCTTAAGCTGCTGGAACATATTCTTATACGGAGCCATAAGGCTTGTAAGACCTTGTGAGAAGTTGATGCTGCATTCCATAGAGGGTTCATACTCAGACAATAAGTTTTTTAAGTGCTTGGCCACCTGAAACACTTCACTAAACTTGTGTATTTCCCAACATGTTGGCTCTTCTTGTTCTTCATCATTGTCGCCATAGCCGTATTCTTCGTCCGCTATCACTATTTCCTCCAACTCACCATCAGTCAGTTTCCCTGTGCTCTTCAATTAACTCCTCGATTTCCTGCTCGACCATATCTTCAAACCCATCACGCCTACAGCCCTGACCACCTTCACGATGTGCTTTACTTGAGAGTCGATCGTAGGGAATCTTTTGAAGTCACGCAAACAGTCACTCCACAGTGCCCCCCAACATGAATTAACCGACACTGGTTTCAGTGCATCCATGGCCTCCTTCACAAAACTGAAGCAATTGGCAATGTTGAAATCCTTCCAGCATGCCATAACACTCTTGTTAATGCTGTCCTCCATGGTGCTGCGAATGTGGATGAAGGTGAGGCGTGTGTACGCTGCCTTAAAGCACCGAATCACGCCCTGGCCAAGGGGCTGGAGGATGGAGGTGGTGTTGGGTGGAAAGAATATTACCTCGACGTCGTGTGCGAATTTTATGGCATCCAGGTGGTCTGGTGCGTTGTCAACGACCAGCAACACCATGAAAGGCAGTCCCAGCTTCTCTAGGTACCTCTTTACCTCGGGGATAAATCATTTGTGGAGCCACTCAAGGAAAAGCATTGCTGTCACCGAGGCTTTCTTGTTTGACTGCCAGTAGACGGGGAAGAGATTCTTATTTTTTCCTTTCAGAGCACAAGGGTTGGCAGACCTATAAATCAAGCCTGGCTTGATCATATGCCCTGCTGTGTTACCACATAGCAGGACGGTGACGTGGTCCTTCGCGGCCTTGAACCCGGGGGCCTGCTTCTCAGATTTAGAAATGTAGGTTCTGGTTGGCATTTTCTTCCAAAACAAACCTGTTTTGTCAGCGTTGAAGACCTGCTCTGAAAGATATCCATTTTCCTCAATCAATTTCCTGAATTCTTCTGGGAACACCCGTGCAGCTGCCTCGTCCGCCGATGCCGATTCACCAGTGAGTCTTAATATTTTTCAGATTGAAATGCTTCCAGAAACTGTTGAGCCAACCTGCACTGGTTTTAAAATTCTTCTCAGAGCTGGTGGATGCTTCGCCCTCAGGAACCTCAGATTTAAACTGGTCATAAAGACACGGTGCCTTCTCCCTGAGCACATTGCCGTCGATGGGGACACGTTTCTGGTTCATATCCTCTACCCAGATGTTTAATGTCTTCTCCACCTTCACCAGTTACATCTCTAACCTGGCTAACTACCTTAGCAGTAAATGAGGCACTTGTAGACACGGTTTCACGAATTTCCCTCTCCCGAATCTTGATGGAACTCACGCTTGATTAGTTCCGCCCGTACCTCCGTGCCATAGCAGCGATCGACAAGCTGCCTTTTATTAAGTTTTACACGGCCACTTTTCCTTCCAGGGTCATTACAGAGCATTGTTTCTTTGCTGGAGGACCAGAGGCAGAGGTTGGCTTGTGTTTGGGCATTATGAACGAGAATGAGAGAGGTTTAAGAGCACTAAATTGACACACATGAGAGGCAGCTGTTACTCCGACGATACAAGCGTGGCAACTGAGACAGACAGAGGTGACCAAGTGGGATGGCGGGGGTGGTGCATTTGGCAGGCTTGCAACCCATTTTGAAAGTTTAGAGTTTGAAAATGGAAATTGTAACCTAATTTTAATCAGCATATAGTTGAAACAGCTTAAGAAAAATATGCGTAAGTTGCGAGTCTACTGTACAATAACGGGTTAGTCTAGTGTGACCGACATCCACAGAGAAACGGTGGCCACCGCGGGCAAGATGAGTGTTACGAGCCCACGGCCTTGCGTGCAGTACACAGGATACCAAATCCACCAAACATTGCCCGTTAAATTACCTGTAAAAGAGAAAGTGAAGCAATATTGCAGATTTGCAATATTTTTCTGTGGGTCCAATGATGAGTTTAAACATCTTTCAATACATAGGAATCTACAAGACAATATTTAGATGCAATTTAAAGACTGAGAATTTAGATATTTGTAGTTCAAGTGTTGGAAAAAGTATGATGTAGAGTACAGTACATGCATATTTGACCTCCCCTCTGAATCAAAGGAAGAAATGAAGAACCAAAAGTTCCTTCAGATTAATGTGGAGGCTCTGAAGAGAAGCAAACCACTTGCCTTTTCTAACGGGTCCTTTAGATTAATTTAATATACAAATAAGGTCTGACTCATCCATCCACATGTTGAATCATGGTCCAAAAGCTACCATGGAATTGCAGTTCACAACATTTCCAACTTCCTCCACCATTTCAAGGCTGATTAGAGTCTAGGAAGGAAAGGAACAAATGTGTCTTTATACAGTACAGTATTACCCCGCTTTACACGGTTTCACTTTCCGCGATTTCTCATTTACACGGTACCTTGCCAGAACCGGACTTTCACTTTCCGCGGTGCATCTACTCATATACGCGGTGAAGTATAATTTTTTTTTTATTTAGCTCATAAAATTCATACAAATTACCCGGCCAGAATATAATTTACATTGCTGGAATTCTTACAATATGATGATCATTTTGAAGATAAACATCATGGATTTTGCATTAGACATACAAATTTTAGATCTAATGTAATAATTTGGTTTACACAAAGCAAATATTTTATCTTTTGTGCAGAATATATGAAGTTTACATTCAAAATATTCCCTGACCTGCAAGGAATCCAGAAATGTCAATTATATTATCCTAACTTTAGTCTGAGGTATTATTTATTACTAAACGTTAAAATCTAGTGTTTTCACCCAAAAATTAATCAGAGAGGTAGGGGCCAGTGAGCTGGGAAGAGGGGGGGGGGATTTGAGTCCATTATTTGAATGGACATTAACCTGGCGACTGTATTTCTCTTAAATATTAATTGTGTGAGCATACCATCATAAAATTTAGATGTTATTTTTACTACAACATAGGTATTGTGTCGGAAAAAGTGGAGTTTGGGGGTCGGGCCAGTCTCTATTGGAATTAATCCCATATGTTCTGTTGTTCACTTTACGCGGTTTTCACTTTCCGCGGTACCCTGTGGGTTCAATTGACCGCGTAAATCGGGGCACTACTGTACTAAGCTTTCAGAGACAGATTGAGTCTTAACAACACCAACTTCAAGGAGAGATGGCCCAGTTCCATCACCTAACTTGTTAAAATTGGCCTGTAAATAACTACAGTCTTCTCACACAACCTAACTGTAACAACCCTCCCACTGAAAACTGAAAGGTCAGATTTCTTTCTATTCACCAAGAAACCTGCCCATGTAATAAAATTCACTGCTATTTGAGTAACCTGGCAAGTTGATTCTTCAGCAGAACCTAAAATTAGGCTCTCATCAAGACTAACTCTTATTGATGGCAGTTTCATGAAGCCCTTGATATTACTGGAAATCTCTTCTGCTCCACAACTAAAATCATCCCAATTCTCCTAGGAATAGTAATGTGCCAATAAGATACCTTTGAATTAATGGATGTGAACCACATTCCTGCTAGAAGGCTCAGCCTATTTTGATGCTTTGTAGTTATCTGAAAATTCTCATCAGGGGCAGACTTTATGATCCATTTCAGATCAAGAATCTCTGTTGAAACCCCAAAGCTTTTAGGAACAGGAAAAGCCTGGAAATCCAGTACAGTACTTGTATGTAAATATATGAGTAGATTACTTATGCAGTAGAGTATCTCTGAAGAAGATTTAACCTAATTAAAGTAGTGAAGACTGTTTCATTAAAATATTATAAACAGCAATACTGTGCTAACTTTTTTCTAGCAGAAAGAGAAGGTCTTGTCGAGTAACAAATTTGTTCCAGTCATGGGTGCCAGTAGGGAGGAGATGAAGCATATACTCAGCAATGACAATGGCTCCTACCCACGAAAATGTTGTCTTGTTAATGGTAGTCAGAAAGATAGAACCGCCTGGCTGTGGGAAATATAAATGCTGTTATGGTTACATGACCATGCTAACTGTACATTTAAATTAAGCCAAGAAAATCTGTCAGGTCAAAATACTTGAATAATTATCCACAATGTGAAGTTATTTCTTCATTCTTTCTTCATCTTTTGCCACAAAATAATTCATACACTTTAATATAGTACTGTACTTTTTTAATTCCTTCCTTTAGCTTTTCAAACGCTTTCAATTATGCTCAAAATATCGCAATAAGAAATAAAAAAACTTTTTATGTGAAAATACTGTACAGTATAGCTAAGAAACTTTATTCATAAGATTTGAAGAGGCTTTTATAAACATTTCTCTTCAAAATGTCCGAAATAAGAAAATTCTCTGCGAAATCACACACATAAAAAATGTGGTTCTGGCAACTTGTGTACTGGTGTTGACAAACATATGGGTTGACCCTCAGGGTTCCTAGGAAACCTTCACTTGTACAAATATGCTGTACTGTATTGTACAATGCTGTAGAATTCCAGTAATACTAGAAAACATGAGATATGATCACTCCCAGCTCAACTATAACTCCTGTAACAGTATAGGAGGTAGCCAGATATAACCAGTTGCCAAAGCTGAGAGCTATTACTATATGTGTACATGTGCCCTACAAACCTAAGCAAGTTATAAATTAAGATTGAGAGACAATCCACTAATCCTCATCCAAGCATCTCAAAATAGACATATTAAGCATTTAATTGCGGAAAACAAGTGATTTACCTGAGAACTATCCAAACAGCAGGTGATGTGATGGGAAACTGAGAAATTAAGCCAGAGAGGTTTTTTTTTTTTTTTTTTAGGGGATTAGCCCACCCGGGCACAGGTCACTTACCCACATCGGGGCCTGGGGGGCGAAAATATTATTATTATTATTATTATTATTATTATTATTATTATTATTATTATTATTATTATTATTATTATTATAATAATAATAATGATAATAATGAATAAACATTTTAATAAAAAATACTATAATAATAATAACCATAAAAAATACATAATAAAAAAAAATATATCAATACTGTAGTGAGAAATGATTTATGTGTGTTGTGTTGTCAAAGTAAGAGAAACAATTGAGATCCTGAAATTGTGTGTGAATGAGGCAGAAAGTCAAATCAGCAACCTGGGACTTGGTCACAATTTTTGTGATGCCATATGGCAGCAGGGTCTACCATTAGACAACACATTATACTTCCAATATCTTCCCAGGTGGTAGTACCTCCTTGTTTGATAGCTGCCTCTTACCTACTACCTACCTACAGTAGTGTAACAGAAGACTCTTAGCTATCGACCTCCATTTTTAGGGGTTGTGACTGAGACACAATTGCTAATTCTCTTATTGCCCTAACTAGCTTTCTTAGATTCAGTAAAAGTAGTGTAAGGTAGGGTCGTTCACAGATGTTGCACATGTGGGGGCAAAGAATCACTGGACGCTCTAACATGATAGTGGGCTACCGTTCACCTCTCACTCGCCTTCACCATCACCGCTTAAATAAAAGGAGGTGCGTGACGACCCGCTACAAACATAAGCTCGATGACACAGTACATGAGTCACCTGATCCACTGTATCAGTTATAAAAAGTAATATGATGCAAACTAATAAAAAAAATTGACACATTTTATGGTGAAAATATCAATATTACTGTTCTTATACTAACCTTGATAGTGTCTGCACATGTGTTAATGAAAAGATCAATGGCATCAACATGTTCCAGGACTTCTGATGCAACCACTGCATCATACTTGTCATCAATGTTCTCTGCATGCTCTTCAATTGTACCATATATATACCTAAAACCAATATATAACATAGAGAATTAAAAACTGCTTACTAGCTATGGTTCCAAAGTTATACAACAGTGTAATATTACCCCATATTCTAATAAACACCACCATTCAAAATATATGCCACATTTCAGAAATTTTCATAAGAAAGTGAAAGGTGATTTCAGAAAAATAGGTAACCAATTCTAACCTCTTGGATTTTAACAAATTATGAACCTGAAGGCTGAGTTACGTAGAGAGAAAGTCCAGGAGTTTGCCCTGTTCATGAGCGTACAAGCAGGGTTATTGCCATGAATGATAGCCAGCTAAACAATGCAACTATGATCATCAACACAAGTGAAATATCTCTTGAAACCTCATGCAACAAGGGCATTTAAAGTTAAACAAATTTTATTTATTTTGTACTTCAAGAAAAACGATCCAATTTTCATTTGGCTTGGCAAGCGGAATAAGGAAATGAAAGAACAGCATGCCCTTAAAATTCGAGGGGGTTTGGTTTTGAAAATGGCTGCGAATAGCCAAATCCGCGAATATCATTTGCTGATTGAGGGGGGGAGGGTATATTTTTACTTGTAAGCAAAGAAATGTATATTCTCTTTATGTGTTTGCCCTTAGGACAATTATTTCTTTTACCTGTATTGTATATATGTGTTTGTGTGTGTGTAGAAACTACTACTAGTACTTTGCTGTCAATCGGAATCGAGTATGACGATCATCCAGCTATGATACAATGATATGAGTTATTAAGGATGTCACCTAGGTTAGTGAGTTTTAAGGTGACTAAAGAGGCCGATACGGGACTGGTAGGTTGCCCATGTTGACAACCCTTTATCCGAAATTCTGAAAACCTCTGAAAACCGAAAGGTTTTTTTGGTGGAGCAAAACTTTTTTTTTCCTTTTTTCTTTTAAACAGGGATTAGCCCACCCGGGTACAGGTCATTGACCCACATTGGGGGCTGGGGGGCAAAAATGTAATAGTAATAATAATAGTACTAATAATAATAATTATTATTATTATTATTCAAAGTAAATAAAAAAAAATACACAAAAATAAAATAATAATAATAATAATTATAACAATAACACTAAAAATAAAATAATAATAATAATAATAATAATAATAATACTGTAATAATAAAATAATAATAATAAATACAAGAATGAAAAAAAGACCAAAAGTGAGAAACACGACCTAGACCTATGAATTATTATTATTATTATTATTGGGGCCCATCAGGCCCCAATGTGGGTCAGTGACCTGTGCCCGGGTGGTTTGATCCCTGTATATATAAAAAAAAAACCTAACCTAACCATTCTGAAATCCGAAAATTTCCGAAATCCGAAATGCATCTGGCGCCAAGGATTTCGGATAAGGGAATGTCAACCTGTACTGGCATTTGTACTCTTGTCTTCCCGGCGAACTCGGATGATGGAACGTAGACTACGTTGGTGAAAGTTTTCAAGTGTCTTGAAGTGCCTCCTGTGTGTGATCCATGTCTCGCTGCCATACAGCAGGGTGGGGAGGACCACTGCTCGATATACGTGCAACTTTGTGGCTAATTTCAGCTCCCTACAGCTGAAGACACGGTTTCGGAGTCCTCCAAAAGCTTGAGATGCACATCTGATCCAATGCTGAATCTCTTCATCGATGTCCATGGTGGTGGACAGGTGGGAGCTGATATACCGAAAGTGGGGAACATTAGAGATGGTAGTAATTTTAACCTGGATGGGTGGTGGAGGTGTGGCTGAACCAGGGGCAGGCTGAGAGAGAATCTGAGTCTTACGTACATTCACCTCAAGGCCAAAGTGTGCATACACATCTGCGTAGGTGTTAGGATCTCCTGTAGGTCACGTTCAGTCTGAGTGACAAGGGTGAGGTTGTCTGCATACTGAAGCTCAGTAATGGAAGCTGCTGACACCTTTGTTCCTGCCTGGAGTCGTCTGTTGATAAGACCCTTCATCCGGTACTCAATGTTCACCCCACCGGCTAAATTGGCACTAGCATGAGTAAGTCAAAAAAGCCAAGAAAAAGGAAAAGAGAGTTGGTGCCAGTACACACCCTTGTTTAACCCCAGTTTGGATGGAGAAGAACTCAAACTGGGTGCCGTCGTGCAGGACACTGCTGTTCATGCCATCGTGGAGTTGCCTCACAATGGCGATGAATTTTGGTGGGCAGCCAAAACGGCTGAGAGTGCACCAGAGGGCTTCCCTGTTGACAGAGTTGAAGGCCTTGGTTAGGTCGATGAAAGCCAGGTCACGAAACTGTTCTCTGCACTTTTCCTGTATCTGGTGGGCAGCAAAGATCATGTCAGTGGTGGCACGTGATGGTCTAAAGCCACATTGGGATTCTGGGACAGCAGCAAGATCCCACGCTAGTTGCCACAGTTTGACCGATCTCCCTTGTTCTTATAAATATTGATGATGGAAGCGTCTTTAAGAGCTTGTGGGATTTTCTCCTTTTCCCATATATTCTCCAGGAGAGAGTGAAGACGGCTGGTAAGCAGAAGTCCTCCTGCTTTTTACACTTCAGCTGGGATTCCAACAGGCCCTGAGGCTTTGTTATTTTTCATCTGTTTGATGGCAGTAACTACCTCATCTAGGGATGGAGGATAGCTGAGGTTGGTGAGCTCTGGATGCTGAGAGACCTGCTGTGTAGTCAGGACATCCACATTGGTGTTTTGGTTGATCAGTGAATGGTAGTGCTCTTTCCAACACTGAAGGAGGCTTTCCTCGTCTTTAATTATGTAGTTACCATTGGATGAGCGGAGGGGGCTGTGCCACAAGTGATTGGCCCATCTTGTGCTGATCTGCAAATTTTTGTGTTTCACATGCTTTATTTTTAAACCAGTCGTTCTTTACATTGCAAAGTTTCCGCTGGGCCGCCGTTTTCTTCTTGCAGAAGGTATCAGCTTTGGTCCGAGACACACACACATACAATGCAGGTAAAAGAAATAACTGTCTTTAGAACGAATGGCTCCCTGTCCCGGCCGCGAAAATGGCGGCAACTTTAAAACTACCCACAGACATTCTTGAGTACATCCAGGGTGCCATCCGCAAATAACCAAGGACTGCGAATTGTCAGGGCATGCTGTAGTGTTAATTATTGGGTGTAAGCACAATGTACAACAGTTCATAAAGTGGCGCTGTCCAAAAATAATCTACTTCAAACTGTAAGATGACTGGAGTGAGGCCTTGTGGAAATTTACTCTAGTCAATGTGAAACAAGAAAAGGTGTGTGCACAAACTAGTGCAGCACCAAGACTTGATTAGCTCTCAAGCTTTAACTGGGAATCTTCCACTTGGCAGACCCATATCAATAGTGGGCGATGTGAGCAGAAAGCTGAACTAAATAAATTAAAGTCAGTTATTTATATTATTGTTTGCCCTGGATTGTAGCCAACTGACTTAATGGATAAACTCAAAAGTCTCCTCGTACTCTACCAGTGCTGTAGTCAAAACCGAGAACGAAATCATTCACAAATTTATCCTTTACGAATCACCTGGAGATTAGCTCCTCAAGTGCTCACCTATTTAAGCAGACTTAAGTTTAACCACCCAAAAACTATCTGGGGAGGTAATCTTTAGGTGGACCATAAAGGCAAAAATTTTGAATGGTCCCTGTCTCGAGTATATCACTCCCTTGTACACAATAAATCTATAGATACTGAAACAACAAAAGAAAGGTTATACTCAGGCTCACTCAATATTTTGGCTAACTCTTGGGTCTTTGTCAGCATGCAGTCTGGCAACAGAAATATTCTCCTTTGCAGCATCCAGACCAACAACTCTTGCTCCCAACCTTGCTAGGGGCTATAAAATAGTAAGATACAGTATTACACCAAACTTCTTAATTCTATACTGTATATGAAGAAGTAGTACAGGGGGTCCCCGACTTAAGAACGTCTGACTTACGAACGCCAGGCGTTACAAACGGGGTTAAACTTGAAATTTACAGTACAGTCATCCCTTGGTTATCAAGCCTAATTGGGACCGCGCCGAGTGCGTGATAACGAAAAACGCGATAACGAAAGTACAGAACCTATGGGATTTATTCCAATTGGTTCTAGGCACCCAAGACCCAACCCCAATTTTATGACCATTTGACCCACTAAAGATATAGATAATGTTATGGTAAGTATCAGAAACACACATAGGCATGGCGAGGTTTATTACAAAGTGATGAAAAGGGTATGCTCAATACTGTAGTCCACAAAACATGTAGCTATGCTTTCTTTATTTGAGTCCCCCGTCTGAGGAGTCCATTTTCTCATTGCTTCAGGAAGCCTGAGTCCTTCGTTTTCTCTCAATCTTAGAGTGCACCCATGACTTCGTTATTCCTTAGTAATGACACAGAATTTGAAATTGCAACTGGGGTTGCAATTGTTGAGGCAACTTAGATATGTCTGATTACAGCAAATGTGTTATTGTCAAATTGTAGGTGAAAGATTTTATCCTCAATAGATGTAGGTGAAGCAAATGGATGAAAACACCTGGAGGCAAATGCGTGATAAAAAAATTCTCGGCTTGAAAAATGCGCTATAACAGCAGGTGTGCAGATTTTGATGGAGGCGTGATAACGAAAATCGCGATAACCAAGTGCGCTATAACCAAGGGATGACTACATATTTTATTTCCCTGATGACTTATTTTTTACTCTCATTTACTGTATTTCTCCTTTTCTCTTAAATTAAGTGATTTTAGATGTACAGTATATACAGTAAGGACTTAGGCTATGATATAGTGGGATTTTAAACATTGTTCTGTAAGTACGGTATGCACATGTGTTCCAACTTAAAAATGTCCTCAGGAACGGAGCCCATTCGTAACCCGGGATCCCCTGTAAATCTAATTATCCAATAATTCTAATACAGGTTGTACCTCTCTAATCCGGCAACCTCGGGACCTGACCGGTGCCGGACCATGGAAATTGCCGGACCATGGAAATTCACCCTTTTCCTGGATAGATAGTGACTTGTGCTTATGCTTGAAAGCACTAGCACCACTTTCTCTGCATCATGGTCTCTTTGAAGACATATTGAAGGGTTAAATGTTGTATAGTAGCTTCTCAAATTTCGCGAGTTTTTAATTCTTAACGTATTTTATTGGAACACACAAAAAAATAAATAAAAAAAAATTTTGACGGCGGAAACTTGAATTTCGACGGGTTTGAACGGCCCGCCAACGTGCAGACGACGTGCATAATCGTGTAAACAGCGTCATTTCTCTTATGTACAAAAGATTCATTATTGTTTATTACTGAATGTCTTTTTTATTGAATTAATGTTTACGTGTGCAAAATGAGCAATACAATTCATTAATAATACGTAGAATATTGAAACACACGAGGAAATGACACAGCAGTGTTTTCGTTGATTACAAAGCCAGTGACTGACTGGTTCTACATATAAAACTGAAGAAAATAAGACCTTGGTTGTAGCTGTAGTAAAATTAATATGGTTGTTTTAAGTAATATTATTCAATGTTAATAAATGGAACAATAGAAGTAGCTAACGATAATGGTAAAGAAAAAAGAGAGATCGCGTATGTAAGTGCGCATGCGCACACATGAAAACATATCGTCATTACTTTACATAAGAATATGAAAGCAACACTTATTTACTGTTCATATATATTTTAATTAATGTTTCTGAATTTGTTTATATTGAATTAATGTGTGTGTGTGCAAAATTAACAATACAATTTATTAATAATACGTGGAATATTAGAGGAGACGAGACGGCTGCCGGCATTGTTTATGTTAAAGCTTACGAAACCAGTGACTGATTGGTTCTACATATAAAACAAGAAAATAAGACCTTGATTTTAGCTGTAGTAAAATTAATGTAAAAAAATTAATATGGTTGTTTGAAGTACCTGTAATGTTATTTAATGTTAATAAATGGAACAATATAAGTAGCTAACCATTAATGGTAAAAAAAAGTGAGACTGCGCGTATGTAAGTGCGCTCATGTGAAAACATATCGTCATTACTCTACATAAGAATATGAAAGCAACACTTATTTACTGCTCATATATATTGAAGGGTTAAATGTTGTACTCTGTATAGACAAACAGAGAGAGTGAGGGAGAGAGCAGCCGAACTGCCGGATGTAAACAAACCTTAATTTCCCGCGGCTGTGTTTTTTTTTTTTTTAAGGGGATTAGCCCACCTGGGCATAGGTCACTGACCCACATTGGGGCCTGAGGGGCAAAAATTTAATACTCCTGTAATAATAATTCAGATAAGAAAAAAAAGAAAAAAAAGCTGCCTATCTACCTATTGGACAAACTAAAATCGTTCCGGACCACGGGAGTTTCTGGACCACAGAATGCCAGACTAGAGAGGTACAACCTGTAGTTATTAACAGCTTATATAAAAAAAATCATATTAACAAAAAAACATGAGAAATTACATGAAACTGTATAATTAAATACCAGGTAAATTTACTCTAAATAGTCTATAAGATTAGTATGGTAGTATTATCAGTAGCTCACCAACCCTCATGCAATTAGATATCATCATCCTCAATACACTGTACAGTGACCCCTCGTTTAACGAACACCTCGGTTAACGTAATTTCGATTAACGAACTGCCTTCCATAAGGATCTTCAATTCGGTTAACGAAAACAAATTCGGTTAACGAAGTTCTTACGAACCAACCTCAACATGTTTTCGCTTGCACTGACCGGGCAACCAGCTTTAGTATCAGTCCGCCAATACATTAATCGGTTCTAGGGCTTAAATTTACTATTTTAGTAAATATCAAGAAGTTTATACTATTCAATAATTTTAAAAGTTTAATATTCAATTTTTTAGTCATTTTAACAATTATTGAACATAATTGAAGGTAAAGTGACTAGTTTAATGCGCGGCATCCAACCTCTTAACACAGCAAACAGGAGTTAGTCTCTCTCTGTTTTCACTGGAGGTAACATCTTGCTTGAGACTCTCCAACTAAATGCTTTTTTCTGTGTTTCCAAGCAAATTATTGCAGTGTTGATTTAAAGAAAATAATCTTGAATTACACCAGAGAGCTAAAATTTTATGGGTGAAATGGCGCCATGGGGTGACTTCTCTTCCACCCCAATGCCTTCTCTTCTTCCTTCTCCTCCACCCCCATTCTAAATCCCATCATCATCATCATCATCCAGGAGCCTTCTACATACACACCTCAAAGTAAGTGAACTTTTCTACCATTTTTGTGGAATTTAGGAAATTTTCGGTGAGCTGGAACCAATTACCCAAAAACCCATTGAAACAATGGTTTCGGTTAACGAACTTTTCGGTTAACGAACTTTTCGGTTAACGAACTTTTCGGTTAACGAACGACTTTCTGGAACGGATTGAGTTCGTTAACGGAGGGGTCACTGTACTGGTATTATGTTTTCTGTACAGTATCCTTAATCAGCAAATGGTGTCCATATTTATATATCATTACCTTGTGTTATTTTTCCTATGTTGTACAGTAACTTTCCAATAAATAGGACACCATTCACCATATTACTGCATAATGTCAGTGTTTTACCAAACATTCTTCATCCACAATCGGCTTACTATGCTGTCATTTTTCTTTCTTTGGCAATACTTCATCTTGTCCAATCATATGTTCATCTTTTCCAATCATACATCCATCTTATCCAATAATACATCCCTCTTGTCAATCATACCTCCATTCTGTCCAATCATATGTCCATTTTATCTATTTATACCTCCACCTTGTCCAATCACATCTCCATCATATTCTACATTTTATAACAACTGAATGACCAATGAATATGCTTTCTTACCTCACACAAAATGCCTCCTCCACATCCTACATCAAGAATCTTCAGTCCTGTTAATGGTCTAGGGCCATCGATGTATTCCTGCTTAGTAATTCGTGACTGCACCAAGCCCTCTCGAATCAAGGAAACCCTTAAATGCAAAAATGTACATTGTGCTATGGTACTGAAAGAAACACAAGGGATTGATCCTGGATTGGGCGACTCATGTAAGCACAGACAAGTCTAAAGTAGTAGTTTATATCTTCCTGTCATCTCCAGAGACTTGCTGAATACAAAAACTACCATGAGAAAAAGGCTAGAATTATTGGAGGGGTAACACACCTTCCATCAGGAACAGAGGTAAGTAGGGAGCTTATACCCAGTTTGGGGTAGACCCAGAAATGGTGTTCTATACTGTAATTAAATAAATGAGGACTGATGAGTACAAATGTTATAATGGTAACAAAGACTCACAGCCTTCACTGCTGACTTGTCTGTCCATCAGGTCTCATTTAGAGATTACTGTACTGTACGTACTTCCAGTCACTAATCAGGGTCCTCAGAACTTGGATTTTCAACCAGAACTTGTTTGACCATGAGTGAATCACCAAAGTCAGACATGAAACTATGAATAATTCTCTGATACAAATACTGTAATGTAATTTTGACAAGTGATTCAGTAAAAAAAACCGAATACTGCACAATACTGGAAATACCAAAAAAATATAAAATTCTATTTCATTATGAATTGCCAATTGTGTTAATATAAATTACATAGCATCAGATAACTCATAAAAAGCTTAATTATCTACCTTAATCTATTGAGAGAATGTAAAGGTTTACAATCCCCTTGTAGGTCCCACCAAGAGTCTGCCATTGCTCTAAACTTTGCTACCTCTTCTTCAATATATGTAGATTTTGATCTACTATTCTCATTCTTGCTGTTTTCATCTGAACTTGAATTGCCATTGCTGTATTCATCTGAACTTGAACTGCTGCTACTGCTGTATCCTTGTGAACTTAAAGTACTTGATATACCAGCAGTATCCGTATCACGCACACTGTTGGTAGCAGGATGCCCAGCCGATGACTTTTGAGTGCTAATAGTGCTGGGTTGCTGACTGTCAGTAGTAGTGCTGCTGATAATGAAAAACAATATACTTAAGCAATTGTAATCATCTATTTCTTTTCTCATAACAAACTAACCTTTCTGATATCCTTCTTATTTCTTAAGACAAGTTTCTGCTATTGTTGCAGTATTTTTAAATGCTTATTACTGATGTACAGGTTGGGGACCATTGGATGCCAGTGTTGATCAAGTCTGGTCTAAAATGAACTCACTCTCACTGTCTTCACAGCATTCATTGGCAAATTACTTCAAAATTTCACAACACTGTAGACCAAGGCTATTTTAGTACAAAAGGTGGCAACGTGGCTCACACTTGACTCAACTGCCTTCTCTTCTCCAAATATAAAGTTAAGTGTCCATTCACAGCTTGGTGAACTGTGGATGTCCCATGCATGAACCATCGACCATAAGGACAGGAGACAAATGCTGTATCCATTCAACTGTCAAACCTACAAAAATGTTAAGTACAGTAACATTGCTTTAGAAGCATTTCAAATATCTACAGACACTAAAATTTACCTAAAAGAGTTGATAGTTTTAGAGGAGGCAACAGGAGTCAGCAACCATTGTAAACTCCTCGTGGTGGTCACTCCAAACACTTGTTTTAACATCATCCTCACTTGCTGGAGACTTCTACAGTAAGAATAAAAAGTAAGGAAGTTGCAATTACTTCACCATTTATTTCTATTCCTGAGATATGAAGCAAGTTTTCTTCTACAGAGACTTTTTGTTAGGCATGGTACCTCATTACCATGAATCCTATGTTTTAATTATTCAAATAATTTCTATGTAACATACTTTTTCCTTGACTACCTTAAGAAATCCCAAAAGATGAAGAGGATTTGCAATTAACGTAATTTTATTTTTCGACATTTCTTGTTATAAATAATTCTGCCCTGTCCACCATGACATCATTTGTGAAACTTGAACTGTTGACAAATACTTTCCAACACGGGAACCAAAGTGACCAAACACTTCCCAACATCCTTTCCAAACCTAACCTAACCTAAAACAATGCAATGGACCACCCTAGGATAGGTAAGTTAGGTTGGTTCATCTTATCCACAACAAATAATATAGTAATCTTAACAGTCATTGGAAGTGTTCATACGTAGGGAATGGTCACTGGAAGCGTTTGAGTGGTATATGAAACACTTGGTAATCCTGGAGCAGATGGCTTACACCAAAAACCCTTTTTCAATTTTATGATATGACAATGCACAGAACCTAATAGAACCTGACCTAACCAACCAAAGAAACCTACCATACCTTATGGGTAAAATTATTGTTTTGGTCATCCCTATGTTTTTCTGATGGTTTTTGATGTGTTTTGAATGATTTTGATCTAACCTAACCTAACATAGTCACAGAACCCAGAAACTCTATCTAACCTAACCTAACCTAACCTAAATTCCTAAGATTCCCCAGATGACCGAAACGATTATTAAGACACCTTATGATCATAGATAGATAAAAACTAAAAAACTAAAGGTCAATATTTAGAAAATGACACTAGGCAACTGAATATTGAAAATGGGTTTTTCTAATGTAAATCATCATGTTAAATACAAATATGACATTCATTGCCATCGAAAAAGGAAGGTAAAACAATGAAAAACAAATAATAAAAAACCTAACCTAACCTAAACCCTAGTGCATAAGAAATTTACCTTAAGTAAGAGATACAGGAGGATAGAGTGATGTGACTTGAATGAGGAAGTGGTGTCTTCGTCAGTATCCGCCCCTTATTACAGTACCATGCATTGCAATCTACACGGTATTGACACTGAATTACATCTCAGACACTTTACAGATGAAACAAAAACACTGTGAACCCTAAAAATGACAGCGGCTGCTTCTTCCTTGTCCAAAATGCGCTGAATAATGCAGCAGCCAGCCAATGTACAGTCAGCAAAATATTATTATGCACCTTTACAGGTTCCTACAGTATGACACACTGAACCCAGAATTCTGAAAACAATTATTAGTCAAAGTGGATGTTGGTAGCCCTGGCTTCCTGAGTTACTAGTTACTCTGTAGATAGTATTTACCATTAGGTGTTTCAGTGTGTTTGTGTGTACAATGTGTTACAAGATGCAAATAGAGCAGACACAAAATAATCGAATTAATATTAAAAGCAATTGTCATTGCCAATTGGTATTGGCAATATAAAGGCCTATGAGTGAATGCTTATCATTATACTATTAGTGTAACAGACGTAAACACACAGTCACGTCTTTGACAAGCTGATAAGGTTCTAGCATAGGTTAATGATATGCAGTAAAATGGTCATTATTTTAAGGTAAACACATTTTTGGTGTGCAAGACGAGGTTGATATTCATGGCAGATGGAAGATGGGGTATATAATTATTACAACCATAGTACAGTATATAAACACAGGAATTGCATTCATTGATTCTCACATAAAATATGTTCAAATAACCTAACCTAATCTAACCTTACCTATGATAGGTAAACACGTGTAATCTGTGATTGTCATATTATTTCTATCAATATTTAGTGCAGGCACCCCCTATGTCAATGAAGCAATTTAGCCTGTTAGGCATGGACGCACACAAGTTCTGGATCAAGGCCTGGCCGGCCGTGCTTCTCATATCCTCCCATATCTTCCGTAGTCTACGGACCCGACCTGACCTGACTACCTGAACACCAGGACCCTAACCAACCTTATAAAAGGGGGTGGGGTTAGGTTTATCATTTACAAAGAATATGATAACAAGTTTATGTCATTAACATTATGCTATTCAACATCTTTATATGTTTTCTTTATATGATGATCATTAAAAAATTATTTATCACTATTTTGGGTTTTTTATCATAAAACTCTACTATATAATAAATAATACTATATGATAATACTAAATTGCAGCCTGCAGTGTAGATATCCCAGGTAGACCGCACGCTGTAGTGTAAATGTCACAGTAGACCGCACGCTTTAGTGTAAATGTCCCAGTAGACAGCACGCTATAGTGGCACCAGCCTGTGCCTAAAAAAAAAAAAAAATCCTATTTAACCTGCAATACCATTCCATAGTATGTTTCCAGGGATGTAATTACTACAATCAATCAATTACCATTCCATAGTACAGAAACATAATAAAATAGGTAAATTTTTACTTTATGACACGAGTCCCTAGGGGTTGACCAATATGTTTTTCCAGTGTATCTTGATGTGTTCCAAACGAATCTGACCTTCATTTTTGGGGGAAATTGCTCGTTTTTGCCCCCACTCCAACAATAATGGGGGAGAGCCTGGGAAATTGGGTTTTTTGGGTGGGAGAGAAACAAAAACGAGTCATCTAACCTAACAAAACCTAACGTCACCTCTAGCCGGGGGATTCACCCCCGGACCCCCGGTAGGCCTACCTTAAACTAACACAAATGTTTCAGGAGTTAAAAACTTTGGGGTGCGCCATGTCCGAAAGTATAATACCTTAGTTAGAAATGGAAGGACCAGGGATACTTAAGAATTGCATAGAATGATCGTCTTTCTCGTAAAACTCGGCAATAAACTTAAAAATAATCGTAGGAGCACAAATAACAACCAACCTCCACCATGGCCATTGTGAGACTGGTAAATGAAATTACCCAGGCTGCTTCCTTTGAAAATAATCAAATGTGATTTGTCGAAAAAACTCGCGTGACGATATCGATACATCACTGGTTACGGCTGGATGACGTCAGTCAATATTGCTCATGCGGGATGCGGCAATAACATCTCCTCACAAAGACAAAGACTGAAACCTACGTAAAATCAATTAAATAAAATTTGGTCGCTAATATCCATTTCCGCCATGTATACGTACAATATATGAGGTTCAAAATGCTCAGAGTAGTGAGATCTAAATGTGTCGGTAGTTTATAACTTTCGGGCGCGCTATGTCCTAAGGAAAATAATACAAAAAATTGGTTATAATCAACTACGATAATTGCTAAATAAATACCATAAATTGATTTCACGTGTTGGGATAACAAAAATTGGCTTTTAGCATTTTTGTTTTTTTAGGTTACCCCTAGTTGCATCTACCTACTGTTTGTTTGTGCTTGTATAATACCTGCACTGACTATCCACATTCCGTACTAACGTGAATATGTATGACGATTCTACTTCTGCACTGTTATAAAAGTGATAAACAAAGTCACACTACAGCCAAAGGAACATTCATTGGATCAGTACATTTCTGAAAACTGGAAAATAAATACTGAATATGTTAATTACTTTGCTGATATATTCTCCACGTCTAATTCTACAGTTTGAGAATGTCAAGCAAACAATACAGTTTTCCAGAAGAAACTAACTTACACCTACTGTACTTCTGACCGCACAGGGCAAACTAACACTAACTAATGTTAAATGTGTACCGCGACCACAAGCCGTACTGATTTATTTAAAATTTGTTTTATTTAAGGTAGACTAAATCAAATGTCATAAAATAAAATTACAAAAAGAAAAGCTCCACCTAGGATTGTTAAGAAAGATTAGTTAAGTTGGTTATGTCGTGTTTAAAAAAAATTTGTTTTTGGTATTCTTTTAACATCGTACAATAATACAGGTACAGGTACTTCCAATACAAAAAAAATCCTTAGCTATATTTTAAATAGTGTTTTTAGCGTTGCATCAATTTGGTAGACCTCATTCTTTTACTTTTTATCCTGTTTATTCTCATATATCAAATTGATTGAATATATAGTATTAATTAACAATATCTGATGTACTACACTTTCGAGGTTATTATTAAAAAATAATGGTTGATATTTAGAAGTTGCCAACTTATATAAAATTTTCAACACCCAGTGCTGGATTTATCCTGAGGCAAACGAAACAGTTGCCTCAGAGATCCAATTTTTTTTAATCTTTAATATTTTTATTGATTTTATGAAGAAAAAATATATGTATACACACACGCATACACTGTGTATCAATGTTGCCGGTGTATACCATTCTCGTCTGCTAAGTGAACTAAAAAAGCGCGCGAAGTTCGAAGGGGAAACTGCGAATTCATAGTTAAAGAGAGTGCAAACAATAAGTTCACACATGTTTTAAGGAGGAAAATATAAAATAAATGAAGAATAGAAGATGTATTTATTAAAGTTAAATAAAATAGTAACTAATTTGTTCCGGAAATTACATACAAGTCTCTTCAATGATATATAGTTTTTAGCATACATTCACGTAATTTTTCCTTATCACATGGCAGTTGCGAGACTGATAGAGCTATGGGAACCTTTGAAACTATATTTTACCAGCATAAGTATGGAGGAAAAATTTCACACAATTTCATCTATTCTAGAAAGCTTATACTTCCACAATCTCAACTATATTTTGCCAAAGTTTAATTACTTAAAGCTTCTTTTCCAACGTCAAAAACCTTCAATACAAGTATTGCATAAAAGATGCAGTGATCTTTACCGTGGTGTATTGTGGAGTTACATGAAGAGAGATGGAGTGAACAGGATTTCAAGTATAGCAAATATAGATCCTGAAGACAACACAGAATTCCACCCCCCTTAATCACGTATACCTTGGGATAGAAGTTCATGGTCTCCTCCAGTCTGAAGAGTATATGGACAGAAAAACATGATAGAACATGTGATGAATAGGTGCAGGTAATTTATGATTATATCTTGCAAATAAATTAAAAAAAAAAGTTGGAGCGCCTGCACTTGCCTAGCTTTTACTACAGACGGGCAAGGGGTGACCTAATTGAGGTGTAGAAGCATCTCAAGGGGCACTACTCAGTTGAGTGACCTTACTTGGAGCTGGCGGACGCTCGCCCCACAAGGGGTCACAGCTCAAGATTGAAGAAGCCGCAAGTCCAGAAAACTGTGAGGGCAAACTTTTTCGGAGTGAGAGTTGTGAACTCTTGGAACAATCTACCAGAAAGTGTTGTGACGGCACCGAGTGTGAGTCCTTTCAAGACCAGACTTGACCAACACTGCCTTTCAAGACCAGACTTGACCAACACTGCCTTTCAAGACCAGACTTGACCAACACTGCCTTTCAAGACCAGACTTGACCAACACTGGAGCGGGTTCAGGTGCATTCAGGAGCCGGTGCATGCCCAGTACTTGCCAACAGTGCGTAACAGAGACGTGACCGATCGCCCGGGCGGCTAGCGAGCCGATCTTTTGGTGAAGAGGATAAAAAAAAAAGTAATCAGAGAGGTGACCGATCGCCCAAACGGCTAACGAGCCGATCAGTGGTGAAGAGGATAAAAGTAAAAGTATACAGATGTGTTCTGTATTTTCAGTAGAAAATTTTTTAAATGAGCAGTCGAGGGTGATAATGCCTTCAATGAACGCTTTCCCTAGACTATCTCCCACGAACAAACAGCAGTTGGATAATGAGTGGAGAACCATTGACAACATAAGATTTCCATACTAGATGAAAAATCAAAGAAATACACAGCTATTCTACAAGGAAATGTCAAGTACGAAATATGATTTTGGAGAACCATATTTCCGTGAGCTGCCATACTTTGCTCTGAAGATATTGTCGTTGCCCACATCAAATGTTGATGTAGAAAGAATGTTTTCCAAGGTGAATCTGACCAAAACTAAGGAAAGAAATATTCTTTCTACACTGACTTTAACATCTTTAATCATTTCATCTGAAATGGTTCACAAATGTGGAGGATGTGTTTCATTCGAGCCAAGTGAAAATTTGATTTTTGTTTGCAAGAAATCATAATGATTAATTGTAAATACCATGTATATCTACAGTAGTCTATTACATTTGTATTCTTTACAAAATGGGGAAATAAATGCACATTTTGCGACAAATTTATGTTTTTCTAAACCTTTTTACGACTTTTTTATTCCATACCAAAATAAAACGTATTTCAATATCAATAAATATCGTCTTTGAATATTGTCTACTTATTTCTTGTTTAATTCAGTTACTCAATAATTTTACATGTTTTCTCTTAAGTGACGTACGACAACTGGCCAACGTGAACTAAGCGGCAACACTGCTGTGTATGTTACTGACTAAGTGTTCTCTCTGTATGTGCAGGTAACCATGTGTCCACAGCAAGGCTAAAGAAACTCAACATTGGGAATATGTATCAAGGAGTCCTATTACAGTACCTGGTGACTTGATCGGTGTTGGTGGAGGTGCTAAAGCCTGATCAGTTGCACGAGTCAGAAGTGACAGGAGGAAATTTGCTAGGGAGCTGCTGCCGTTATTTATACATACCTTCCATTCAAGTGAAAGGAAGAATGTACATTATGTTGGAGTGATGTTGTATGACAATGAAGCATGGGCAGTTAAAGAGGATTACATAAGCAAGAGTGAGAAATTTGAAATGAGAATGGTGTGGTGGAGGTATAATGACACAAAGACAGAAGGCCTTGCTCAGAGAGAATCGGTAAAGCCCTGCATGGAGGCCAACTGAGATGGTTTGAGCATGTGGAGAGAAGAAAAGCCATTTGGGTCAAGAGGTGCACGAGCCTAAATGTGGAGGGTAGAAGAATGATATGGGGGGAGTGGGGGGATTTAAAGAAATGACCTTAGAGTTAAAAACCTACAAGTGACTGTGCAACATGGGGAGCTCCAATCAGGTAACTGCAGCTAACCCATATAAGCATGGAAAATTATGAGGGAAACAAAAAATGTGGAAACCATAGCAGTTGCCTACCTTCACCTTCCCAACTGTAAGCAGTCATAGCTAGATTGATTGAGGATGTCCCAGACATGAAACAGTGACCATTTAACAGGTGAGCACTGTAACCATTCAACTGCTGAGCCCATTAGACATTGACACATCAGATTTAGGCAGTTTAAAGGTTTGCACATTGGTGCAGGATCATTTCTTTCTCTTGTGAAAATCAAGGTAAACAAAATTACACAGTAATCATAAAATGTCTTGCAGTTAAATTTTTATTATATAATACACAATTCTGCATTAAAACAAAGCCTTCTTTAAAATAAAAGTAAAAAGAAAGAGGAGACCATTTACGTGATTACTATAAAAAGGGTTTTACATAAAACATCAGTTTGCTGGCAATGAGAGGCAATATACATTTCAAGTTAACTTTAGTTCAAAATATTATTTTACACAAAATGAAAGGTACAACACCAACTGTTTTTAAGTCATTCTTATAATAACTGCTGATAACCAATCATTATGAAATGAACATGGGAGTGAAAAAAAAAAGTTTGGAAAAAGCTTTAGACGGGCATTATGACAAACATAATAAATTATTATGCGAGGTTAAAGAAAATAAACAACCAAGTTACAGTAATGTACTAAAAAAAGCTTCCAAGAGTCCTTGTTACAAAGCATGTTATTTCCCATTTCTCTTACCTAATGCATCATCAACTGCATTTTCAGCTACTTACATGCAAGCTTAAATGGGTTTGTTTCAGTGTATAACATATGCTGACACCAACTGTAAAATGTCATAGCTAAAGAATTGACACAAAATTATAAAAATGTATGAAAATCAAACATCTTGAAACAGTTAATCAGGCAAACCAAGATGCTCAAAATAAATAAAAAAATAATTTAATTGAACTATTCCATGTAATTTTGCATTATAATAAATTTGGGTGGAAAGGTGAGGACATAATGAATTAAAATACCCTATTGAATACAAAGGGAGTGTAAGGATAGCACTTCTTAGATCACATCAAAACCTACATAATTAATTGGCATTTGGATTATAAGCCAATCATCCAGGTATTACTTTGTTTGTTCATTCTAGTGATATGGATATAATCTGAAAAAATAAAATAAAACTGGTAAGTCATTCTACAAAACAGCTTGGTACAACAGTAAAAATACAGGACACATCTTGAAGAATTTTTTAAGTGTCAGACAAATTTTGCCGCTTCTGCCAATAATGTCAGCCTTTTGGTTGACATTTTTTAAGCATTAAGAAAAAGTATGAAATACTGTAGTTACACACACCCCTAAAACTTTGTGATCTTTTGGGATTTCTTCAATTTGCATTTCTTTCAATTTGGGTTCTACCAAGGATTATCTGAGTAGGGTTCTGGGATCTATAATGGGAGGTACTGAAAAATATGAACAGTATGTTCATCCACTGTTAAGTTAATGAGGCAAACTAAGATATCCGACAAACTCTGACTACCGGTATCTTAGCCTCAAGTTTTGCATAAGTTACAATATTTTGAGAAATCAAAATGAAGGACAGGAATTAAGCCAGATCCACGTGGGCAGAACCTTGTTTTAACCTTATGTCCACTGAAACTGAATGGTTCACTTTCCATCAACCACGAGATAATATACCAGCTTCTGACGTTCAACCAATTTTAAAACATTACACTGTAGTGGACCCTCAATAATCTGACATGGTTGGGAACATACAGTTGCTGGTTTTTTAACTTTTTATAATTGTAATATGTACAGTACCGGGGCCTAGGATGGTAGCATAACAATGCTTAAATATACAGATGTTGTTTTACGTACCCTTTATAAAATTAAGTATTTAAAATCACCCTATCCTTAATCTGGAAGCAATGCATCTATTCCTAGGCTGTGCTCTTATAAGAAGCCATTGTGTGAGCAAGAATTCACAATGCAATGATGTCTTCACTATACACACCATTCTAAACTCAAAGACTGGGAAACCATGGTCATCTGAGGTACTGGACAACAGGAACTACTAGACTGTAATGTACATCAAGAGTTGCAGACTTTTTAGGTGCTTAACTAAATATTAAATTTGGGGTGGGGGGAATACTTAAATATTGTGCTAGGATTTTAAGTAAGTATTGTAATACATTAGAAATTTCGGAAATTTTGCCTGATTATTGAGGTTTATTTGTATTAGGACAAAATAGTACTGTCTTCCTTCCTTGTAAACTTTATACAATGTAATTCTTATAAAAACTTAAATACAGTAATAAGATAAGTCACAATTACCTTTAAATTGTCTTACCTATTAAACTATCCATCATTAACAGCATAAGTTGCAACACAGGAAAATGAATACTAAAATTACAAACAATTAAAATCAGCTACCAAGCAACTCTGGCTCCCATAAACTTTTAACACTTTTCCCAGTCCTATCAAGAACCAATAATTATCTTGAATCCTTGTTTCCCTATCCAGAAGCTCACGTAATTGTCAAAACAATATCCACTTAATTCTATTTCAACTCGTATAAAAGTGATATCTCCATCAGCCGGAACAATTTGTGCAGAGCACTTCCCAGGAATGAGAGATTTCCGGGTAACGAGACGACTCTCTCAAAGCTGGAGAAAAAAAAATAGATTTCCTCATCCCCGGAATCATCTAGGTAACAAAAATTTTCTCGGAAGTTCCAGAATGATACATTACAGATACTCCGCGACTTAGGACCTACTCGACTTACGACTGCCTCAGTCGTACAATTTTTTTTTCAAATTACGTATTTTTGAGTCCCGACGTTAGTGATCGCACTGTACTGAAAAAATTTTTGTTTGTAATTCCCTTTAAAATGGCTGGCAAGCGAGTTCTCGTGGTGCTGAGAACAAAAAGAGACACCCATTTTAGATTTTCTATGTATTATTTTCGCATTTTCGACTTACGACCTGGTCGTCAGTCCCCAACCCCGTCGTAAGTCGGGGACTGACTATATTTCATCTCTCAAAACCGGAAAAAAATCCCCCATCCCCCAAATTTTCTGGGTAATGGAAAAGTTTTCTCGGAAGTTCCAGAAATTGTGCATTGTATCATCTCTCAAACCCGGAAAAATATCCCCCAGGCCCGGAATTTTCCGGGTACTGGAAAAATGTTCTCAGAATTTTGCAGAGAATGTGCCCCTCGGAAAATTTTTCCCAAAGCAGGAATTTTCCGGAAAATTCTGGCTTTGGAAATGATTTTCCGAGAAAAATTTAATTCCGGCTATCGCAGAGTTCTGGGTTTGAAGGATTCTGGCTAACAGAGATATTACTGTATCCTGCACTAACAAAAAACCAGACTTTCAAGCAATACAGTAAATCATTTTTCCAAAACATAATACAGTATTTCATCTTCTAACTACAGCATAAATCTACTACAATGAATTTAAATATCGCAATTCTTAGAATATGGATATTTTACAAAATAAATGTCAAAGATATTATAATAGAGACCACAGCATTTTACAGGGGGTGAGTTTTTCATGATTGATTGACAAGATAAACTTCCTTTGTAATTGGCAGCTCTACTCAGAAATTCCCTGCAACAACTGGTCCCATCCATTATGTAACTACCTTTAAACACTATCACAGTTGTACAGAACACAAATGAGGAAAATGGAATGGCTGTAAATGCAAGAAATACTCTTGAACAATGATCCTGAGTTATGCTTGCATTTCACCTGAAAAGGTTTCATAAACACACACGACTGATTCTATACACTAAGGCTGTAGTTTTGTTTTACCTTTGTACTCTTCAAACAGGGCATTAGTCTTTTAAAAAACAATTATAAAATCTCACAATGAAACAAAAATCTTTACAATTTAGTATTTGTGACTGGGTTTCAGCCTTCAAAAAATTTCTGAATTAGGACCACAATCATTTGCAAAAATTAATTAACTTTTACCACAGACAGAGGTCAACAAATGTGGTTGTATGCCTAAAATAAAATTATATTTATTAACTTGTGAGGAAACTTTTTATATCTGCATGTAAGTAAATTATGGCAACAAGAAACCCATTTGCAGCAATACTCATGCCAAGGAAAAATGCAATCCATGGATTACGATAAAGAGCCATATACTGTTTTGGATTGTTATTCTTAAATTCCATAACTGTTGTGTCTGCTGTCTGCACTTTAGTAGTGTTTCTACTGCTGTTGGTATTGCTTGAGTTTTCACTAAGATTTCCATGAGGTGTTTGGTAAAGATATGAACTACTGGCTGTAGGGGATGGAGGTGTCCTTTGTAAAGAGCAATCTGATAAGACTGAAGCACAGCTGTACAAAGATTGAGCATCGCTCTTTGCTCGTCCTTGGCATCGGCTATAATTATACTGGGATGCTGAATCAGAAGGATAGAGAGATGGTGAATAACCCCAGGCTTTGTAAGCAGGCTCTGACAGAACTGAACCTCGGTCCAGTTCCCCATAGTGGGAACCATGGCATGAAGTAGGTAAACTGCAGGGTCCATGCGCCGCCGTGTATGGTGGTAGCCCACTACTCTGAGAGACAAATCCCGAACTCTGACTAGAGGAACGAGACAGAGGGTACATGGACGGTTGGCCTGGCTGTGCTGGTCCTAAATGAGGGACCACATGCTGTGAAAATTCTCGGGAAGGACTTACAGGGTGACCCCAATAACCCCCAGCAACCCATGAAGACTGTGTGATGTTTTTGGTCGAGATTCTTGGTGGACTCCCAATACTTCTCTGACTGCAATATGTATCATTATGTTTAGGGTTATATCCAGGTTTTCCAGAAAACAGCAGTTTTGGTGAAAAGGGTGTATTAGGGCGGTTCATGGAATTGCTTTTTAATGGAGTGCTTATTTTCAAGCCACTCAAAGTGGTGTCCAACGTGTCTGCCACAGTATGATTTTCATTAGCTGAGAGTCGAACAGGGCTTATTGTACTTTCATTTCGATGAGGGGAAAATGGTGGGGTTAAGCTGTTTATGTCATCACAAACACTGCCATTAAGGGTACACCTAGAGTCATCAATGTTACCACTGGAGGTTTCACTCACCATACTCCTGGGGAAGAAATAGACCCGAGTTTAGTGAGTTAGATTTTGCTAGGATAGGAGTACACCTTCATAATAACTTATGTAACCTCAAGCTAAAGATATAAGAAATAAAACAAATTACAGCAACATTTATCTCACTAGCAAAATTAATATTTCTGTGATATTAAATATTCCTACATTGTTTTTTCGAAAAGCCACCACCCAAGCCTTTGTACAGTCCCGGACAAAAGTTCTCGTTACAGTCAAGGTGGATGGTGCAAAGTCCACCCAACCTTATTGGAAAATGGGTCCGTTGTCAAGCCATCGCCTCCCTCCATACCTGCACACACACACACAAACAAGCACCCTCGCAGATCAACAATCGAGTTCTGATACTTCCATTTCTCAATAAGGACTAGGGGAGGATGTCATTATTTTGTCAATAAATTCACAAACCCATTTACTTAATCAAGTTTTACATTCCCTGACATAATAGGTTACATCATTATTAGATAATCATGACATAATGCAGTGTGTGTTTTGGTGGCTGGGGTTCACAACGATATCAGAATCCTCCAAGATATATTGTCCCTCTGTTGGGTGGGCTCGTTATGATAACAATCATTTCTGCTACAACGCGATACTTGCGTTCTTGTGAAACCTCGAGTTATAGAAATCCGCTCATGGAGCAAATAGGGTTAGGTGCAGATTACTTTGGCCGTGACCTCACAGATTTGCTCGGACTCAAGCCTGTTCCAGCAATACAGCTTGCTTTAATCTTTTCTGTATTGTCTCTAATGGTGAATAACGTAAACTCCTTTGTTCCCGTTGCACGAACAATATCACATGTTCTTTCATTGCGTTCAAAATGCTTAATAATAACGAGCTTCTCTTCAAGTGTTATAGCCTTTCTTTTACGTTCACCACCGGCAATTCGATCACCAGAACGCTTCGTTGAAACATTCTTATTGTCTTGTCTTTCAATATTCATGGCTAACACAACAAAATTGGAGAAAACAGCGAAAATCACGGAGGACACTTCACAAAGCAATGGACAGAAACCGCGCGATTCAACTGATCACATGATGTAAACAGAGAGTGCTGGTGTAAACCGTTGTAAATCTGCACTGTGAAACATTCTTTTTACGTATTCTTTTCATACAGTATTTATGGGTAACAGATAAATTTGCAAAAAGAGAACAAATTTTCCAGAGTACCCCCCTCTCTCTCTCTAAAAAAAAAAAAAAAATTCACAAACAAAACACACGAATCAATTGAACATGTGATGTCAAGCGTGAACTGTAAACATTGCATAGCCCCACGCTCCACTTAAAACGTTGAGGATGGAATCGTGTCATAGCCAACATTCGTATGCAAAAGTTTGCGTTTTACAAACAGCGCTCCCCTATTCATCAATTCTCATTGAAGCAGAAATGACTGTACCATGTTCCCCACCCACAACTTCTTGGACCCCCCACCCTTTGATATTCCGCCCAAGAGCACGTGTGGGCATACATGGTCAACATGTGGGAAATGGAAGAACGGACTACGGTACACATTAATAGACTAAACCAGAGCTGGTGCGTGACCTAGTGGCATCCATGCCAAACAGGCTACAGGGCTACTGATTGAATAATTTTGCTGATAATATGCGTTATGCATAATTTATGTAATCTAAAGAAGATTGATTGAATCATTGATTATTTTTTAACTGTAAATTTATCTACAAAGATATTGAGTGAACTGTATACAGCATGCCCTTCATATTCGTGGGAGTTAGGTTTTCAAAATGACCGCGAAAAACAACTGCTTTATTAATCAAAGTACAGAGTAGACTTGAGGGTAGACTCAACATTTTTAATGCATTTGCTTCTGATTGTATATACAGTCAACCCTCGCTTTACGCGGTCCCACGTTTACGCAGTGCCCTGCCGAACACGGAATGTTCACTTTCCGCGGTGTGTGTACCCTTTTACGTGGAGAGCGGCGCGAGCAGGGTGCGCACAAGGTCGCCCAGTCATCAAAACATTACCGAGTTCTTCACCCGCCACCCACCACAGCCGGCCCAAGTCAGTGATAGTGATAATGATAGTGAGGATATGGACTTTGAGGGGTTTGACAAAGAGGCCCTGCAAGCCTCTGTGGTGGATAGTGATACAATTGCTACAGGTGAGGGCCAATAATCTGCCCTCTGCCTCGGAACCAACCCCCCATCCCCGTGCGCCCAGCCATCTTTTCTACTAATGTAAGTGTTAAAAAACCTAATATTATTGATGTTTCTCTTAATTATTAATTGTGTGTGCATACCACCATAAAATTAAGAAGTTATTTTTACTACAACATAGGTATTGTGTCTGAAAAAGTGGAGTTTGGGGGTCGGCCCGGTCTCTATTTCAATTAATCCCATATGTTATGTTGTTCACTTTACGCGTTTCTCTCTTTACACGGGCCGCCGTGGGTTCAATTGACCGCGTAAAGTGAGGGTTCACTGTATGCAATACAGGTAAAGGAAATGACTGTTTCTAGGCTGAATGGCCCCCTGTCCCTGCCACAAAAATGCCAGCAACTTCAAATCTACCCTTAGACATTCTTGGGTACATCCAGGGTGTCATCCACAAATTAAAAATCCGCAAATTTGAAGGACATGCTGTATAATATTAAGCAGTCAACATTTATAATTTGGTGATATGAGTATAACTAATAAAATGGTCATGCTCCCTTTATTTTATTTTCCATCAAATGCTAATCAATCGGTGTTGTGACCTACTTCTTACTGTGACACTTTTATATTAATTGTGTCGCTCATAAGTAAGTCATACTCCCATCATGTCATCCATTGTAGGAATCAAGCCAAAGTTACATGCAGTAGACCAGTGATTCCCAACCTGTAGTTTGCGGAAACAATGGCGCCTTCAGTACCATATTATAGAGCCCACAAGGGCTTATTAAAAAAAATTGAATTATTTGGGACTCTTTCTAAGAGTGACATTAAGGAAAACATGTAATACTTTGATACAACTGTCGCATACATGACATGTGTATTTATCATAGACCAGGCCCAGAGAGAGCGCTAGCCGTATCACTGGGGTAAATATACGTGTCCTATCCAGGAGTAAATGTAAAAAGTATGTAACTGGTAACAGTCAGACATGTAAAACTACAAATAACTGTACAGTATTTGAGATTTTTTTTCTTGAATGTAGATGCAAAGTTTTAGCACCCTCCATTATATTTACAATGATAAATATGGCCCGGAGGATGATAAAGCATTCTCTTAGGAACCATACTATTCTTCATATTCATGCTTAGTTTTCTAGCTACCATTCTGAGGGACAATACAGCTTGGAGAATTCTGATATTTTTGCAAACCCCAGACACCAAAACACACACTGCACTATGTCATGATTATCTAATAATGATGTAATCTATTATGTCAAATAATGTATTCTTGATTCAGTAAATTGTTTTGTGAATTTATTCACAAAACAATGACATCCCTCCCTCGTCCTTATTGAGAACTGGAAGTATCAGAGCTCGATTGTTGAACTGCGAGGGTGCTTGTTTGTGTGTGTAGGTAGGTAGGTAGGTAGGGAGGGAGGGAGGCGATGGCTGGACAGCGGACCCGTCATCCAGTAAGGGTCAGCGGACTTTGCATCACCCACCTGGCTGTAGCAAGAACTTTCGCCTGGGACTGTACATGCATTTATGGTGATTATATAGTTTATTACCAATATTCAAAACAAATGTCATATTGGCAGCCATGTTGGAACCTAAAGATACTAGGGATATTTCAGAGAGGTTCTACATCCAAAATTGTTCAGTGCAGTCTAAAAAAAATGTCATTACAAATTTGGTACTTGTACCACAATGTGCACAATTCATGTCACTAATATGACCCACAAATATGTACATATATAAGTTTGGAAATACGTACATCCAAGAATACTTACAAGCTTGCAATATTATTGGTACTATACTTCAGGAACTCCAATCTAGCAGTCTAGAATACTGTGTAGTCATGGCAAGATCTTTTCAGTCAGGGTTACATTTCAATGAGAACATCAAGTTGATTCACCAACTGCCTACAGAGAACTTACAACTATATTTGTAGCTTGACTAAGAGATGAGGTAAGAGAAGCAGAAATAAATTAAACGGAACTCAGGTCTATCTTGTTAATGTAAAACAACATGTCATTTCAAACTGGTCTATGATACTAAAACTAAAAAGGGATTTGATCAGTAACTGAAAAGTCTGGGGAGGATTCTATAGGTGGACAACCTCCTTTAGAAAAAAGTCTGAAGGGTTTTTGATAAAAGAATCATGAAAAATTGCCAATAAGTATACAGAAATGGCACAGTACTGAAATTTAAGTAGTCTACGAACCACATACTTATTCAAGCGTGCTTTCATATTCATCCTTGTATTCTTGAAATTTCGAGGAACAAGAGATGTCCATAGGGTGAAAAACACACAAGCTCCAGAAATGAGAACCTGGGGAAAAAATTAATTATAAAATTGAAGGCATCTAGTGTTGAAATATGTATCTAGCCGTGTCTATTGATGATTCTAACAGAAAAAGTGAGAATGAATTGAAAACCAAGGTGCAAAGGGCCTTAATGCTATATGATGCTGCAAACTTTTATGATCTCACAAGTATATTTTTATGTTCTCTGCATGTAATGATGTAATATACTACAGCAAAATCAATCGGCTTTACAAAGGATGTCAAACTGTGCCCCACAAAAACACAAATTTGCAGGTAAAAATAATTTAGCTTCTGTAAAAAAATCAAATACAGTGGTCCCTCGGTTAACAAACGGTTCGTTTAACGAACAAAACTTCGATTAACGAAATCCTTACGAAAAACACGTTATGTTGTGAGCATCAACTGATCGGCTAGTCCGCCAATACAGTAATCTGTTCTATGTTTACATTCGTTTCCAGTGGGGTGAAGATCAAGAAGGTTGTGTTCTCGAATTTTTTTTTTTTTAGTATATTGGGCGCCCATCTGGGAAGCATGCTAAGTTCATGCTTGCCTTTATGTCTCATGAGTTAAGGGCATAGAAGCCTGAAGGGTCATAGGTTTTTTGTCAAGGGCGTAGAAGCCTGAAGAGTTATAGGTTTTTGTCAGCAAGTTATTGGAAGCTCCAACAACTTTCCCTGAATACGAATTTGCAACTTTTTGATTTACAACAGGTACCTACTTTACTGCTAGGTGAACAGGGACCAAAAGGTGCTAGGAAGTGTGCCCAAACAACTTTCCACGGGCCCAGGAATCGAACCCGTGACATCTCGCTTGCGAGGCAAAAGTGGTACCGCTCTACCACCAGCGCCCCTGTGTTCTTGAATATTTTTGCATTTATTATATTAAAATTATTGGTCATTCTAAAATTTAGCCATCCAAGCAAGCTCTGTCTACATATAGTTTTTCAACTAATATTTTTGGCTCGATATATGTAACTTTAATCATTTATTGAAACTCATTTACACGCACACACTGTCCTAAGGACAAAGCTGTACTGTACATATAATTAAAATAATGTACAAAATGATTACTAAAATTTTTGTCTTGTGCAAACTATAGCATGTTTACATTCAAATTAATCACTATCTTATAAGAATTGCAGCAATGTAAATTATATTCTCCCCAGTCACTTCTAGACATTATATAAGCAAAAAACAAAAACTCAATCTAAAGGACATAAACAAATAAATATTTACAGGGGTACCTAGTGACAGTACTAGGCTCTCACTTCCTCTATCAAGGAATAAAATATTGAAATTAAAAAAATTGAAATAAATTCTTCACTAGACCTTCGGTGCCAACTGTCAAACGTGTCAATTTTTTCTCCCCTTCCTTCCCCCCTACCAGCCAGGGTATGGTGGTTATACAGTAGGCTTAAAGTTTTTATCTTTTATAATATCACAGACTAAAGTTAGGAGAATATAATTTGCATTGCTGGAATCCTTGCAAGACAGTGAATAATTTGAGTATAAACGTCATATTTTGCACAAGAGATAAATTTTTTAGTATATTAGTGTGCTGTAATACCTTTTAATAATGTAAAGTTTTCAACTGTATTTTTGGGTAGATTTACATAAATTTCTTTATTTATTTTTATTCATTTACATGCACACACCATACTAAAGAAATGTAAAAGAAATAAATGACCTAAGTGCAAACTTGTACTGTACATGTGCTAAATGATTACGGTACTATAATTTTTTTGTCTAATGCAAATTATAGCTTGTTTATATTCAAATTAATCACTATCTTACAAGAATCCTAGCAATGTAAATTAAATTCTCCCAGGTCGTTTCACTGGCATCTTATAAGAGAAAAGCTTAGTCACTCTTAAGGACTGATAAATAAACACACATTAGACCTTCGGCTCCTACTGTCAAACGTATCACCTCACCTCCCCCCCCACCCTCCCTCCTTCCCTCTCCCACCATCTGCCCAGCCAGGGTTTTAGGCTTACAGTTTTTATCTTATATAATATCACAGACTAAAGTTAGGAGAATATAATTTGCATTGCTGGAATCCTTGCAAGACAGCAAATAATTTATAATATAAACATCATATATTTTGCACAAGAGATAAAAATTAATTTCCTGTATCACATTACAGTAGTGATTTAAGAGTTCTAGTGTATAGTGTATATGTATATAAAGTAATTTAAGGGCGATTTAGGGGAATTTTAGGAGTGTTTCTGACTTTATGCATCTTTTGGCTTTACTTTGTATCTACTTTTCTGTGAGTTGGAACCAATTACCCAATATCCGATTGGAATACACTGTAATGGATTCGGTTAACGAACGACTCTGTGGAACGAATTGTGTTCGTTAACCAAGGGACCACTGTCCTGTATTAAAAAAAAGATGAGAAGATTACCTGAGGCCCAATGAAGGAATTTTATGGTAACGGCCACCCACTATAGATGGTCATGCAAATGGATAGGAGGGCCAGTGGCATGAGTAGGATCCATCCATTTAAAGGGCATGGCCATTATGATTTGGAGTTGGTATAATTCCAAGATTTGTGAAGATCAGTATGTTATCATGTGAGTGGGTATTACCATGATGCCAAGCTCTTACATGATGCTAGGTATGAAATTATATTTGAGTGTGACAGGTTGGTTGTGAATTAGATGGATATCCTTTCTCAATGTTCTACACTCAATCATTATTTCTTATATCTTGTCTTAGTTTTAATTCCATACATAAGTCAGTCACTCGCCTTTGTACATTCATATGTACTTTTTAACCATAAACTGTAATCGAGAAATTCTACAATCAGCAAGTCTAAGGGGAGGGGGTGAATCCCCAAGCCACAAACTGGTGACAGGAATCTAAAAATAAAATACAAGTACCGAGTCAAATAGGTTCCAAGAAATATACTCAGGTAACCTAACACTGCACAGCTTGCCCCCAACTATATCAACATGGACCAAGAAATATTATCAAGGGAAGCAGAATAGTTATTGCTTTCCTTTAAAGAAGTCAACTTACAAAGAGAACTCACCTGAAGGGAATTATAATCTTTGGCTGGTAGGAGCTGTTTTGAGGAACACAATGCTAGCAACCCAACCCAGATAAAACTTGCAACAGCATCAGATACCTGTAAGCAATGTATTGAGAAAATCATCTAATAAATGACTGGAAATGAAAGGTACATTTGGCTTGCATAACACTACTGCAGGGGTGGGCAAAGTACGGCCCGCGGGCCACATTTGGCCCGCCAAATTATTTCTGTGGCCCGCCACTGCATTTGTATTTACAAATACAAGGCTTTACTTTGTGTTAATATAATACATTTGCATCTACATTAAGTGTGTGGCCCGCGAAGTGTGCCACCATTCATGAAGTGGCCCTCCATCAAAAATAATTGCCCACTCCTGCACTACTGCAATTTATAATATTTTTCTAATGTGTGATGAAATACAGGTAGAGATGTCTGTCCTCTTAAGGGTTAAATAACAGAAAGGCAACATCCTCAAACTAAGCCTGCCTAGTACACCTAGTACAATTTAACAGTGCAACTAATGAGGAGTTTATATCCTACCAATAAGGCATTATATTCAGCAAATGTTCAAAGCATTCTCCCTTACCCGGTGTTTTGTCTTTTCCCCTAACACATACCCTCTTTTATTCTGGTTTATAATCATCAAAGTAAAACAGAACAAAAACTTTTCTTACTAGTAAAGTCTCCTTTCCAGAAGAGAAAATGTTCATGAGGAGCATGGACAATCCTGTGACAATCATTGGAGAGGAGAATTTATAAATGGTGGCGAGGTACAATTCCAATTCCACACCAAAGTTGAGAGAAACCAGATGTATGCCCGAGTCTTGTTGCAGGTGGTGCATGTTGCAGAGGAAGAGTGCTACAGAGACCAGGAGTCCAGTCATATGAAGTAGGTGAAGATAAAAGGGAATTCTCTGATATTCACTTACGGCATTCTAGAATAGATCAAACATTGAGGTATTCATTTGTAGCAGAATGTAGAGATGACACTACATAAATTTAAGGCATGGAAAGACCATACCAAGGCATATCACTGCATTCCTGAAGCCCTAGACTAAATTAACCCCCATTGCCCTATTAAGTGGTTAGAGCTTCTCTAAGTTCCGATGATTTAAGCCTTTGGAGGGCATACAGTAATTTTAAGTTGGGAAGTACAACTCAATACTGTTGTGGATTCTGTTCATAATATACGAGTGTAGTTACTCTGAATAAAAACTAAATTTCAAAGAACATATTAATTCAGTTGTTAAGAGTTGCAACTTTCATATTCAAAATATATATGCTGTTAAACAGTTTTGGGATAGACAGTGTCTTGTGACACTTACATTTACTATTTTGTCTCGGGTTAACTATTTTAACTCATTATGAGTCTGTTTACCTAATTATCTATTGAAGAAAATTCAAATATATTTGCTCTCCCACCGAGGACTCCCACTACCTCATTCTTGATGGAATTACATTGGCTTCCAACTAAAGCTAAGATAGAATTCAAACTCTGTCTAACAACTTTTAAGACACTAATACTGTATCTGGTGAGCCTAAGTATTTGGACAACCTGCTAATTCTTCTGACTACACATTCTGAAATGATTTTGACTTTGTAGTGCTTTGAGTACTAATGAATTATGGGTATTTAGAAGAACTGGCAGTTTTGAGAACCAAAAGACCAGCTATTATTATTACAGAGTAATTTAAAACAGGTATAAGATATAAAAAATAATTTCAATAGCAATGGAATGTCAAAGTGGCACACTCAGTGAATGAAATGGAGGACTTTGTTTATACAGTACTTACTGTATGTGATCATGCTTTTCAGATATTTTCAATTTACCTAAAATAATATACTTATATATATTCCCTCATTTCTTTTGTGTACAGTATTTACAAATCTTAATTCCAGAACATGCATTTACTATTGTGTGCTGTAACAACAAATTCTTAACTCTGGCACTGGAGTGGACAAATCCTTCTTTACATGTGAAACAATACTAACTGCTTCCCACCTTCCATTTGGCTCCTAAATGTACACCTGGACATCCAGTCTATCATTTTCCATTTATTTTATTCAAATCCCCCTGCAACTGGTAGGATAATTTGAATTAAGGCTTGGTAAATGTACTGAATAAACCCAACTTTCACTGGTAACCCATTTACAAATTGGATGAGCAAACAGGTTAGAAGAAAAGATATTTACTTACAGTAAAAAATTTTGCCTTGTTCTCAGAGGTCAGATGTAGTCTCCAAGATATAAGCTTTGGCTTGAGCCAGGAATCCTGTTTGCCAAGGGTCTGATGTAACGTTGCCTCACACTGCCGGCAGAGGGCATATGTCCTCTCTAATCTTTTCCTAGGGTTGAACAGGATTATCAGCAACATATCTTGTAAACAAAAAATCTATCTTATTTTACCCTACCAATACAGTACAAGAAATTCTGCAAGTAAGCAAGGGATGTGTAATCATTTTTTTTATTACACTTAATAAACCAAAAACCTTAATACAGTATCTACATATGAATTAGTAAGATTTTTCTTTTCTTACATCAAGTACATAGCAATTAAATTACCTAGACCCTAATTTTTTTAAGACCCCAGGACCCAACTCGTGAAGGGGATCTAAAAACCTAATAAATTTAATAGTTAGATTACCTTCACCTTCATACCGTAGTCCTGAAGGATTTCCACTTGCCAAGTACCCCAAAGGAAGAAAAGGATTGAGCTTTATTGGGAGCACAAATTGGGATGATCTTATCCATTCATTTTTTTTACATTAAATAGAGGTCCCCCTCAACACTCTAAAGCAAGGAGAGGGCATGGGGGTATATAAATTGACTGATCCCAACTCCCTTTTAGGATAGAATTTCAGGATCAAGATCAAGTAATTCTGTATACAGAAGGCAGGTAGAAAGGAGGGGGTAGCTAAAGGCACCTAGTGTTATTGTATACTCATGTACTGTATACTCTCAAAGGGAACAATCCTACCAAATTGATCTTAGTTCCCTACGTCATAGTATCCTGCACTGAAGGAACACCCCCCCCCCCCCAAGCTAGTGAAATAATATGACAACCCTTTCCTGATGACCAATCAACATTATAATGTTAGCAGTTACTTACTACAGGATTGTAACTAGATAAATAGTACTGTAATGGACTTAACATACATTGGACTGAAAAGGTTAATTATATTATTTTAATCAATGTTATCTCAAATGAAGGGTGAAGCTACTGTAAAACTTATTGACATGTCTACATAAAGCAATTATATGAGAAGGCCAAGACATACTCTAGAGCAAAATACAAATCAGCAGTTTAGACAAATCCCAGGAGGGGAGGAACTTTTGTTCAATCCCCAAACTGACCCTCCAATGGGTATATCTAATAACGAATTCAAATTATATTAAAGAAACAATATAATTTATAGATTAATAACACTCACCTATATTCTTCAATTTCCTTATCATAGTTATCAGGGTGAATTGGTGTATAATCAGCTAATGCTCGTACTTTGAGAGTCTGGTTGAGATTGCAAGTTTGGCACAGTCCATTGCCAAGGGCGAGGGTTGGAAGATTCTTCTGTTTCTTCTCCTTGTGTTTTGTCAATGGCAAGTTTAAACTTTCACAGTACTGGGCAGGAATATCACGATTGTAGTCCCCATCCTGTTACATGCACGAAAATATATAAATACAGTACAGTACAAGAATGCCTCTATACTTATTTTTGAAGGGGTGATACTTGAACATGTGGACTCCTGAAAACAACTGCTGCATGTAAACGGGATCTGTTTTGCATCTTCATAAATGGATAAATATCTCAAATGGTATCTTTCTATTTTCTTTACATTCTACAGCACTAATAGACCTATTCCTAACAAAGATTATACAAAAAACTTGTTCAGATTCATCAGTATTGGCAGTGCAGCCATTCTTTGTTTCTTTAACAGAAAAATACCTAAAATGATATCACTTTTAATTGAAACCCTTTAATCATGTCAACACACCTCTGTATGTCTATGATCCTACAAGTTCATTATACTGTACTGTATTATTTACACTAAAAAGTTGATAATTCAAACAAATTGAGGAAAGGATTTCTGAAAATACAGAAGTCCGTGCTTTATTACTTTATTAATAAAGCACGGATTTGGGGGTAGACTGTCACATTTTTATTAAATTTGTTTCTGATTATTTGTGAGAAGATTTTCCAATTATTATTTATTTGTATGTGTGTCTACACACACAACATATATACAATACAGGTAAAAGAAATAAATGACCTCAGGGCAAACACAAAGGGAATATACATTTCTTTGTACACAAGTAAAAATGTACCCTACGCCTCGGTCCGCAAATGTTATTCGCGGATTTGGCGATTCGCGGCCATTTTGGGAACCAAACCCCAGCAAATCTGGGGGGCCCCCTGCACAGTATCTCCCCACTACTGTACATATAAAATCCATCCACCATATACATTTTCTAAATTATAGTTACATCACTATGATGAACATTAAAGCCTTCTTAGTTAAATATATATGGAATAATAAATATTTGGCAGGTAAAATGACAAAGAGAGGAAAATATAAATGTAAATTAACCTTTGATGTTTCCCCTCAGAGGCCTGAGTTAACTCTGGACAATGGTGGCTACTGTACTCAAGTCAGTCTAAAAGATGTCTTGCAGGAGCTCAGGGTCACTCTCAGCATTTCTAAATGCTTTTCCTTCCTCGTATCTTTCTCACAGAAGTAGAGCTACTCTCCTATTCACTAACAAACTTCCCTCCCTCCCCTATTCTCAACATCATAAAATGGGGTTTAATACACAGTACAATACAGTAGTACCCCGATTTACGCGGTCAATTGAACCCACAGGGTACCGCAGAAAGTGAAAACCACGTAAAGTGAACAACAGAACATATGGGATTAATTCCAATAGAGACTGGCCCGACCCCCAAACTCCACTTTTTCCGACACAATACCTATGTTGTAGTAAAAATAACATCTAAATTTTATGATGGTATGCTCACACAATTAATATTTAAGAGAAATACAGTCGCCAGGTTAATGTCCATTCAAATAATGGACTCAAATCCCCCCTCCCCCCTCTTCCCAGCTCACTAGCTCCTACCTCTCTGATTAATGTTTGGGTGAAAACTCTAGATTTTAACGTTTAGTAATAAATAATACCTCAGACTAAAGTTAGGATAATATAATTGACATTTCTGGATTCCTTGCAGGTCAGGGAATATTTTGAATGTAAACTTCATATATTTTGCACAAAAGATAAAATATTTGCTTTGTGTAAACCAAATTATTACTTTAGATCTAAAATTTGTATGTCTAATGCAAAATCCATGATGTTTATATTCAAAATGATCATCATATTGTAAGAATTCCAGCAATGTAAATTATATTCTGGCCGGGTAATTTGTATGAATTTTATGAGCTAAAAAAAAAAAAAAATTATACTTCACCGCATATATGAGTAGATGCAACGCGGAAAGTGAAAGTCTGGTTCTGGCAAGGTACCGCGTAAATGAGAAATCGAGGAAAGTAAAACCGTGTAAAGCGGGGTAATACTGTACTGTACAATACTCTCTCAACAATTGAGGATTTCCCATTTGTGGTTTCCTTGTATCCACGGTTTTCACTCGGTATATACAGCCTCTCCTTGACTTACGACAACCCGGACATACGACGGCCCTGTCTCCTCTGCTTCATCCAATTAATGTAGTCTCCATGCTTAATTAAAAAATTATTGGGGCCCCGTGTGCATTCAGCTGACTACATTAAAGTGCACAGTAACACTTTACTCATTTTTCATTATTGATTACAGGTACTCCTCGACTTACGACCTACTCGACATACGACCACCCGGACATACGACCGCCTCAGTCGTACCAAAAAATTTTCAAATTGGGTACGTATTTTCCAGTACCGAAACGTTTCCCTCCCGTACGAGAGTGTGGCGTGGGCTGGGCCGGCTCGTGGTGTACAGTGTCCACGCCATAGCGCGCTCAGTTGGTGTTTGGCCATCGTTGTTGTTGGTAGTGATCGCGCTGTGTACTGACAATACTTTCGCTTCTAATTCCCTTTAAAATGACTGGCAAGCGTAAAAGTGAGAGTTCTGGTGGTGCTCAGAAGAAACAAATGGTAGAAGCATTTGCTACTATTAATAAAGGGATGCAAATGTTTGACAAAATGGATCAAAATGTTGAACGTTTTGCAAAAGTTTACAGAATGATCCAAGATGCACTTGCTTGCAACAGGGATATTTACAATGAAAAGAAAAGGCAAACTGTGCAGTCTAAATAGGACATATGTTTTAAGGAGTCCCCCACAGCTGTCTCCTCACGCCCCACCAGTGCTGCCTCTTCACTACCTAAAGATGATCCAATACCTTCAACAAGCATGTTTGAAGAAAGCGACATTGATGACCCACCCAGCCCTGTATCCTCCTCTGCTTCATCCAATTAATGTAGTCTCCATGTTTAATTAAAAAATTATTGGGGCCCCGTGTGCATTCAGCTGACTACATTAAAGGTAAGTGTACAGTAACACTGTATTCATTCTTCATTATTTATTACTTTTACTGTACTGTATTTCATTTTAGATTTTTTATGTATTATTTTTTGCATTTTCGACTTACGACCTGGATTTGGTTCCCTAACCCCGTCGTAAGTCGGGAACTGCCTGTACTCTTTCTGTACTATATTTCATTTTAGAATTTCTATGTATTATTTTCGCCTTTTCGACCAAATTGACTTACGACCTGGTCGTCGGGGCGGAACCCCGTCGTAAGTCGAGGAGAGACTGTATACCATTTTACCAACTGTAGCATTTACTTTTATGTATCTGCAGATTAGCATGGCGTCTATCCCCCGCGGTCTAATGTATTCCTCCGTAAAGGTGAGAAATTAATAAAAAATAATACAGTACCAATAAATCAAATAAAAGAAAAAATACTGCATTACCATTTCGCATTCGTTTCACCAAGAACATGGGAGAGAGGAGCATGTTCCCCCCTCCCATGATCGTGGGCTAACTCCCGCGTACCTAAAAAAAATTTATTCTCATATTTTTTACCGTATGGTAATCTTTTTTTTCCACATTCTCTATGATTGCAAAAAAATAAAAAAAATTAAATTACGTATATCTACCCAAAGATACTAGTTAAAAAATAACTAACACAGCTTGACCCGGTAAGAGAAGAGCTAGGGGGTTAGTTGCTACAAGGACAGTCTAATTTAGCGACATGCCAAGTCCACACATACGTTCCCTTCACACACATACACACACATGGTCTTCATTTTTCTAATTTTATTGCAACATGCCATCTCCTTAGTGAAACAAATGCCAAATGGCAATGCAGTAGTTTTTCTTTTCTTTTATTTATTTACATTACTTTTATTCATTCCTCACCTTTATGGAGGAATACATTAGACCGGGTAGGGATAAGGACGCCACACTATTCTGCGGATACTTGAAATTCAATGCCATAGTTGGTGAAGTGGTAGAGAGTAAAAGCTGTGGATACCCTAAATCCGCAGTTAGCGAGGGTGGAGGGGGCACTAACCTCTGTAAACCCATTGTACTGCTGGCAAGATGGACATTCCCAGCTTTCTTGGTGTCTGAATTCTACTTTAGTGTCCTTATTACAGAACCAACAATTGGCCTTTACTGGGAATCGTTGTCTGAAAAAAAAAAAAAAAATCATTAGCACTTCCTTATAAGTAATACCTATAAATACTGTACATGGTAAGCATAAATTTTAAATCATCTAACAAGTTAAAACATTTCATGATGCAAAAGCATTTCAAATTCATGCAATAACTTTGAAATTACAAAACCCAACACTTTCAAGTGTGTTAGCCTGACATCTGGACAATAGCATTTCCAATAAATCTCAAATTTCCAAAAAAGTTCACTACCATTTTGAGTTTTCACAGTTTGTTGTCTACTTTTGAATTATCAAAATGTGGAAACAATTAAATGAGACACAAAATGTATTTCATTTAGTACAGTGTGGTACAGTATTATGTATTTATATACCGTATAATGGAAAAAGAAGAATGTCTATGAAAATAAAGTGGATCTGAATTAAAGAATAAAGTAGCAGTAAACAGAAAGTAACAGATGTACTTTACTAAAATAAGCGTACAGTACAGTACTATACAGTGAGTTCTGCTATAACGCGTGTTTTGATAATGCGAATTGGCTCTAACGCAATTTATGAATAGAAGAACGATATTTGTATAACGCGAACGCTTGTTTGCTGTAACGTGATTTTTGCTTACTATTTCTCCAATTTTGTGGTATTAACTGTGAATATGGTAAAGAAGAATATCTCCAAGAAGAATTCTGGTGATCGCATTCCGGTGATGATCGTAAAAGAAAGGATATAACACTTGAAGAGAAGCTCGATGTTATCAACCTCAAAATCACCCTTCTCCCCCATCAAGTTATATTCATATTTTTTCAAGGTAAAGTGTTACATTTACTGTATGATTTCATTATTAGTTATGAATGTAACATTTATTTAGACTGTACTATCCTTTGTGTTAGGCTAACTACTAATTTTTTTTCAATTTCGAGTAGTAATCTGCACCTAACCCTATTTTCTCCATAAGCCCTGTTATTTCTATTACGCGCTTTTCTATAACACGATATTTTACAAGAACACAACTATCGCGTTATAGCAGAACTGACTGTAAATACATTAATTCAAGTAAACATTTGAGGAAACAAACTGAAAGAAAGAATTAGCCACAACAGATAATGCAAAAGCTCAGATGCTGTCTGATTTCTTCTCTATGCAAAACCCAGGGGTAGAAATTCACATACGCCCAGTCGCCTGAGGCGACCAAAATATCATAAGGGCGACAAGATTTTACTAATTTGCTAATCTGGGATTGCCCGATGGGCGAGTGGGCCGATGACAGTGGTAAGACACACTCAGTGTGTATAAGAGCTTCATATACTGTAGAGAATATACACTAGTAATGCTAGGTAAACTTTGTTGCTGTAAAAAATATTGAGAGAGGTGATGCTGCATCTATCAAGAAATGTGTTTGCTCTACAATATTTCCAATTTTACGTGAGTCAATCAGGCGCATCATATGGAAATACACACTATTTTAAATTTCTCGCCTTATGTTTCCCACCAGACACGTCTCTGGGCACGCTACACGGCTGCCCGCCACCCTCCCACATCCTCAGTTCTTGCGCTGACGCTCCAGTGAACGGACATATTGTGTGACACTATCGTAGGTAGTAGGCAGCTATCAAGCAGGGAGGTACTACCGCCTGGGAAGATAATGGAAGCATAATATATTATCTAATGGTAGACCCTGCTGCTATATGGCATCACAAAAATTGTGATCAAATCCCAGGTTGCTCATCTGACTGTCTGCCTCATTTACACACAATTGCAGGGTTTCAATTGTTTCTCTTACTTTGACAACACAACATACATATATCGTTTTTCACTATTGATTTTTTTTTCATTTTTGTATTTCTTTGTTTTTTTTATTATCATTATTACAGTGTTGTTATTACAGGTTGACAACCCTTTATCCGAAATTCCAAAAACAGAAAAGCTCTGAAAACCTTAAGTTTTTTTTATTATTATTAATTTTTTTTAAACGGATTAGCCCACCCATGCATAGATCACTGACCCACATCGGGGCCTGGGGGGCGAAAATGTAATGGTAATAATAATAATAATAATAATAATAATAATTACAAGAATGAAAAAAAAAGATAAATAGTGAGAAACATGACCTAGTCCTATGAATTATTATTTTTATTACATGTATTATTATTATTATTATTATAATTATTATTATAATTATTATTATATTCCCCCCACCCCCCTCCAGGCCCCAATGTGGGTCAGTAACTTATGCCCGGGTGGGCTAATCCCTGTTAGGGAAAAAAAAAAAAAAAAAAACTAACCATTCTGAAAATCGAAAAATTCCGAAATCCAAAATGCCTCTGGCCCCAAGGATTTCGGATAAGGGATTGTCAACCTGTATTATTGTTGTTGTCATTATTATTTTATTTTTATTTTTGAATTTGTATTTATTATAAATTTTATTTACTATGAATTATTATTATGATTATTAATTTACATTTGCGCCTGCAATCCCTGATGTGGGTCAATGACCTGTGCCCGGGTGGGCTAATCCCTTAAAAAAAAAATTTCCTTCTCTACCACGTGCATCAACCATCACCACTATGTCCAAGAGGCCAGCTACTACATCATTAACTACCCCAAAGACCAAGAAATCATGGCAAGCAATTACACTAGAGCAGAAAATCAAAGTGCTGGAAGCACTGCAGCGAGGAAATGATGCTTCAAGTGTGGGGCGCCAATTTGGACAGTGATGTGGATGATGAGCTGGTAAAGTTGGGCTCTGCAACTTCAGAGGATGAATTGCCTAACTAAAGTTGAGTGGAAATCTATTTTTGACAGCATTAAGTTTTGAAAAACTAAGTTGAAAGGTAAGTGAAAGTGCTTGGTGAGTCAGACTAGAGTAGGGTGGTGCGCAGCGCCAGCGTGACCACCCTCTCACATCAGCTGATCGCCAGTAAACAGACTACTTCACATCCCAAAATTTTAGCTGTGTTGATTTACGAGTGTTTGTTTTAACATAATACTACAAAAAACAATGTTTTGTTTATTCTAGGAGATGGGCTGAGATGCATCTGGGTACTCTCAGCCTTTTTAGTATTTTGTGTTTCTCTCAAGTACCAAACTAAATTATTCCATTGAAACAACATTTCGATTTTGTGCGAATTCGGTTTAAAGCGACCTCTCTTGGAACATATCTCGTGTTATATCGACATTCTACAGGAAGATTCGGAAAAGTCAACCACAGCACTTGGTATTTTTAAAGGGAGATAAGAGGAAAAATTTAAATAAAATAATGAATCCTGTACTCTATTACAATTTCGTAGCAAATTACTATTTAGAAAAAATAATAATTTTCAATTATTACTTGAGAAGCTACAATTTGGCAGAAGACACTATTTATGTCTTACTAATGTGACCATCTTCCACCAATCTGCAGACGTCTCAATATCGTGTAATACTCTCGTGCATGCCGATACTTTTGAATTTTACTTGGCTAGTTACAAGATAGCTTCTCTGTGCAATGGGTGTTATTCGATAGCTTGGCAAACCATTCATTGTCTTTGAAAATGAAGTCACTTCCAATAACATTTTTAAAATGCTCATGGTATTTTGCCAACTTCTGTGAAGTGTTTAAAGTGCGGTGCAGAACATTACTAACATCAAAACCTTTGGTTTTGTACTAAAAGAGGCTTCTGCATTTCTGTGTTTAAGGACACTTGGATGGACAAGGGTAAATTTTGGTTAGGCTTGGTCAGTTTTTTTTAACCACACAATTTCCCTCCACTTCAAAGCCCTGCCCATTTTGTGCGATAAAAATTGTTGGTAATGGGCGGGGGGGGGGGGAAGGGGTCGAATTTCAATAACAAGTCATTTCTGGCAGAAATGAAAGTCAGATTCGACAAAAAAAAAGCAAAAATATCATGCAAATTGAAAGGGCAGTGGATATTTTGCAGTGATCGGCTAAGTTCCTACTAATGCTATTTTACCGTGAGTGCGCTCTGATTGCCAAACTGTCCATAAACGGCAAACAACGCGAGAACTATATCTGACTGACACTGGTGGCATTTGGCATTTATTTTGCCATGAGTTGATCGTTGTGTAGCTATAAACATACCTAACCATATTTGTCATACATGGAAACTACTAACAAAAATAGAGGTAAAGATTCGTTTTATGTCGAACATGGAATTTTATTAAAAAGGAGAAAGCAAAAACACAAATATTTTATTACGTTCCCAGCACAAATTTATATTTTGGGGGATATTTTAACCAATAAGACCTCAATTATCAACAATATTGGTTGTTCAAAATGGGCATTTGAGAGAAAATGTGGGGTAAGGTATTGAAAAGAACATCAAACAAGCCTTTGAAATCCTTACCTAACTTGTAAAAAGGTTAAAAATACGGTAATGTCTGAGAACACCACTAACACTAGGAGTTGTTCGATTTTGTTAATTTTTTCCACAGATGTTCTTATGATTATAAAAGAGGTGACCTAACCTAACCAATCAAGGAAAACTACTTAACCCTCTAGCCGGGGGGCTGACCCCCGTCATATTAAACAAAGTGCTTAGCCGATCAGAGTGCACTCACGGTAAAATAACGTTAATAGGAACTTAGCCGGTCACGGCAAAATATCCAATACGAATTGAAAATCCTCGTTGTGTTGTTTTCTTACGAGTTGGAAAGCATTTACCTTCAAAATAAATATTTCCCGAAGTTCCTGGTTAACCTTTGCTAATTGTTTACACTTTTAAATCATTCACTGTGTCACCAGGGGCCTCGCAAGTCACCTAAGTTTTATTGTTAGTCAAGAGTCGGTCTCCACACAGCCACATTATGTGCCGTAATCGATTACTAATGAAAATTGAAGTCTTTAGGCATACCCACGTAACACAGGAGGTATGCTTCTTCATAACGGTTAAGTAATCAGTAAGTTTACTATCCCACTATAAGCATATTGCTCATGATGCAACCACCTGAAGTTGTCATATTTACCTTAGCTTGCTATACAGAACAGCAGACCCGGCAAACACTCCCGAGGCTCCCGCTATCGCCGGCAGTACCATGTCAAACTCCATATTGCCCACTCGCTGCAGTGAATACCAGCTCGCGTCCCCTGCACGTGCTATCAGTGGCGACAAAATTTAAAACTGAAGCTGCCTCCCGCGTCGCTACACCTCCCCGCCACAACACATGGCCGCCACCCTCAGATCCTCACCAACTTGTTCCCCCACTGATGCCACAACTATCACCTCCTTGTACCTTACCTATTATCTTCCCTCTCACAATTTATATCATCTGTATTCGAGAGATAGACTTATTAAAATCATTCAATATTTTATATTAGGAGTAAAATCATATTTTCCCTTGAATAAATAAATAAAATTAAAGGTAAGGTAGGCCATTTATGTTGATAACACTTTCATAGTAACCTGTCTCCATTTGATTTCAAATTTCGCCATTAAGCTCGTGCCGTTTGACTATTCTAGCAAGCAAATAATAAAATTGGTTATTAGCCTGATTCTTTAATCTTTATAAAGTAATTATGTAATCATAAAATATCAAGGGTGGAAAACATCGCGAGCACAGCGAGACCACCCAGCTGAGGGGTTTGGGGGGGTGGGGTTGTATGCCCCCCCTCCCCCTGATTTTTTTTTAATCTGACCAATATCATGGGCATTTTGAGGCCCATGATATTCGACGATAATCTGATGTCAATAGTTATTACTTTATACTATACGAAAACGCCTGAGTACAATACTGCATTAAAGCAAAAATATTGGAATTTTCTGAAAAGAGGGGTTCGGACCCCCAGGAACCTGGATCCGCCCCTGACACTTTTCACTAAAACACCTAGCTATGAACTTTCTTAACTTATCCACTAAGGCCTACGTGTTTTCTCTTGTAAGGATGCACCGTTCATGTTCTGTTACCTGAATGCCATTATATGTAAATTTGAATTTACGATGTAACGTGTATGTGTAAATGTACTTTTACATTTACTTTTATCCTCTTCACCACTGATCGGCTCGTTGGCCGCTTGGGCGATCGGTCACGTCTCTGTTATGCACTGTTGGCAAGTACAGGGCCTGCACCGGCTCCTGAATGCACCTGCACCCGCTCCAGTGTTAGTCAAGTCTTGTCTTGAAAGAGCTCACACTCGGTGCCGCCACAATACTTTCTGGTAGATTGTTCCAAGAGTTTACAATCCTCAGGCAAGAGCGACAGCACCCTGAAGAGAGAAGAAAAAAATCCCGATACCTCCCAAAATAAGCGGAATTCCACCTCCTGCTCCTCCCTTAGAGCAGGTGCCCAAGAAACAGCCTCCATTCCTAACGGACGAGGAGGAGAGCGACTCGACCATGAACGCCGAGAGCAACTACAGCACCAGCGACGAGGAGATAATGATAGAATAGCCCCACCTCCTTTTCATCTCAAGATAACACAGTGGAATGTACAAGGCCTGTCCAACAAACGGCATACTGTACAAGTAGCAGCCATAGCTAAAAATATTGATGTCTTCATTCTGCACGAAACCCTGATGTCCAAAGATAAACAATTCCGCTTGCCTGGATACCAACAGTACTCTGTACCAAAGGGCCCAACTCCCATGGCAGTATGATTCTCGTCAGGGCAACCATCCCTAGTTCAGAAGTAGAACCAGTTCACTGTGGAGAAGGAGTAGAGGCACAAGCTGTTCGGATACACCTGGCAAACGACAGTCTTGTAGTATACAATATCTATAAGCCGCCACCCAAACGACTAGAAGCCGGTGAACTACTGACACAAGCAACACAGGAACTTGTGCTCATTGCTGGGGACTTCAATGCCCACCATCCAACGATCAATTCGATCACAAGAATGAACCAGGATGGTCATCACCTAGTGGAACTGCTGACAGAAGTTCCAGAAATACTGGGGAACCAACACACATACTGGGAGGAACATTGGACCTCACATTCATCTCCACTGAGCTTGTTCCAGTAGCTCAGTGGGAGGTAGATGATGAACTGACCAATGACCACTTTGCAACAACAACTACTTTGAGGGTGGAGCTACTACCTCCTCCCCCACCCAGATGGAATACCATGAAAGCAAATTGGAAATTTAATCAAGATAAACTCCAAAAATGGTATTCGAACTATGAACCAGCAGAAGATATTGACCAACTAAACCAGGACCTTACTGATGCCATACAACACGCAGCAGAGAAAGCAATACCAAAAACAAACCCTACTAATAGACACCACAAAGACTACTGGTTCTACAATGACGAAGTGAGAGAACAGAATCACAGAATCAACACATTCAGAAGACATCTCCGACGTACCCTTCCCCTGAGGGAGTGAAACTCTTGAGAGCTGCTATCCAACATGCTCGTCAAATTACTCAGAAAATTAGGGAAGACAAATGGCTCGAGTGGTGTGCAACCTTTAATGCACACACCAGCCTGAGTGAACTCTGGAGAAAACTCAGGATAGCTACAAGAAAACTGCCCAGAGCTCCAGCCCACCCCCAGCCACTACAGGAAGCAAATCGCTTTGCAGAGCACTTTGCAGAACGCTCGTCATCAGCTCAACTACCTCCTGAAATAAGACTTCATCTACAGCAAGTACAACTGGAGAGAGAAGTAGTAGTCAGACATGCAATTGAACAAACTGACACTACAGACTGTCCGTTTACTATAGAAGAAATCAGCAGTGCCAGGAAAACAAGCAAAGACACCGCTCCTGGCAGTGATGGTATAACCTATTCATTGCTCACCAATGCAGACTTGCTGGTGATCTTGCTCTCCTAACAGTTATCAACGCATCATGGTCAGCAGGCAAACTCCCGTCAGCTTGGAAAAGAGCAAACATTGTTCCGATTCCCAAACCCAATGATCCCCAGATTTTCAGACCAATGTCACCAACAGCATGCATCGACAAAACCGCCGAAATGATGGTCCTTACACGACTCCTCTGGAAAACTGGGCCACTTCACCACAATTGGATTCACCAAAGGTCTCAGCACTACACACAGTTTGGCCACTCTCCTGGGATCGATTGGTCAAAATAAAGCAATCGTAGTATTCTTTGATCTAGCGAAAGCATTTGAGCTGGCAAATGCACAGACCATTGTAACCACTCTGGCTCGGAAAGGCGTCAAGGGATGCCTACTGGCTTGGATTGCTGACTATCTCCAAAACAGAACAGCAAGAGTTACCTGTCAAGGACAAGTCTCAGATCACCAAAGACTGGAAAATGGCACACCACAAGGAGTTCTTAGTCCAACTCTCTTCAACATCCTCATGGAAAACTTGTGTCGGCTCCCCTTTCAAGAGGGTACCAAACTGCTATGCTATGCTGACGACTTAGCACTGATAGTAAAAGGCAGAAACCAAATCAGCAAAGTCCAAAGATCATTAGACCTCATCAGTGAAGAATGTATGGGCCTCGGGTTCAAGATATCAATCCCAAAATCGAAAGCCGTGAGGATTGGACACAATGAGCCGGTGACACAACTGCAAATACAAGGTATTGCCCTACAATGGGTCAATGTATACAAATACCTGGGCATCTGGATTGACAAAGGCCTCAAATTTGACACTGCTATAAATTATCTAAGAGACCGAATAGGCAAGAGAGTCAACATGATGAGAGCCATGACAGGACCCAAGGTGGGTACGGGACATGTAGTCCTAAGAACGCTATATATACACGCCATTCGATCATTAACAGACTATGCGACACCGGCTCTTAACACACTGTTTGAGTGGCAGTGGGAGAAATTGGAGGTTACCCAGAATAACGCTACGAGTCATTGTCAAGGCACCTATGTGGACAAAAATTTAAAACTTACACATGGAGACAGGTCTCACATCTTTCCAAACCAGGGCGGAACTATTAACAGCGTGCTTTGCAACAAAACTGATTACCAGGGCTCAGGAAAGTGACATCAAGAATGGACTCTTACGAGCAATGAACCTCAACAGAGATGTCTTTAACAAGAAAACATGGCTATTGTCCGCAGCTGATGCTGTAAATCTACTGAAATTGAAAGACACAATGCTCAGCAAAGAACCTGATACAATGCGTCCAGCCTACAGCACCCCAGCACCGTGGGAGTCTCCGCCAGCAGTCTTCAACATTCTACAAACTGGGACAAGAAAGGCTGACTGTAACCCACATGAGCTCCGACAGGTAGCAGAGAGAAATATGAAGGCTCTAACACCACACAATACTACAGTGTATTACACAGACGGTTCAGTAGAGCCCACCAGTACGAAGGCAGGAGCAGCCTTCACCATAGAAGGAGGTAAAACGTCCCTTTGGAGAACCTCAGATGAATGCTCTGCTTTGCAAGTTGAGCTGCCATACTTGTAGCCCTAAGACACGCTTCCATAAACAGTCAACAAGGCGTTGTAATATACACTGACTCATGATGTGCTATTGAAGCACTACAATGCAGAGAGCCTAGATACAACATTCATCTCATAACATCCGTTGTTGGCCTACTGCAAGGGTTAAAACTACAAGATCGGCAACTTATCATTAACTGGGTGCCCAGTCATATCTGAATTCCAGGGAATGAACGAGCTGATGCTGCTGCCAAGGCTGCGATAGGACAGCGAAACATTGAGATGAACACCCTGCCCAGTCAGTGTAGTATCTTACGTTATTTAATGGGAGAATGACAAGCACATGGTGGGTCTGGCTGGGCGTTTATTCTCTGTGCTTGGTTACAACGGGCCTAACACATTTCGTGTTTACACAAGCCTAAACACTTTCTGACTTTGGTAAGAAGTAACATAATATATAATATATATATTCAATAAAGGCAGCATATAAACATACATATATGTAACAGTCAGGAGCAGATAAAGAAGATCACAATAACACGAACTGCCCAGTGGAAAATAGACAAACATAGAAGATAGAAGATTAACACCAGTATCACGATCGGCCAGGTGGTACTATCTGGTCACGAATTATGAGAGACCACCACTCGTGAAGGATATAACAAGAAGGGAAGAAGTCAACCTCCACCGACTAAGTCTGGGAGACCCATGCATTCGGGAAATCATTGTACATGTACCAGCAGAGCAGCGCATGTGCAAGACCTGCGACAGCGGAGCCGAAAACTCACTGCAGCACTACTTCATAGAGTGCCCTGGAACACAATTAGCTTGGAAAAACATGCAACCCCCTATCACAGCAGAGAAGGTTTCCAAAATGCTAA